AAACCCTTTCCATCCATCCAGCCAATCGTCCTACCGTACATAATCAGATAATAAACCTATCATCACTCAAAAAAAAAATCAACACAATAAGGAACAACAGCAACCATAAAATGTAATAACAATAAATCCTTTTTTCCCATTGTTTCCAACAGCAACAGCAAAAAAAATTCTTCCACCTGATAAAAATCTTGAACAAATTAAAAGCAGTCGCGGCAATAAACAAAATAGTTCCAAGCCCATGTCATAACAATTACAAATTAACCGAAAATAATAAAAATAGCAGCAAAAAAATTTTTTTCATTTTTCATCTGCCCTAAAATTTTTATTATTATTTAAAAACTATTTCGTTTTTTTTTTTGTTCCGTGTCGTTTAACGTCACCGTGAAGACACACAAGCAGGCAGGCAGCAAAAAAAATATAGAATTTTGTCAAAACATTTCCATTTGTAGATCGAGCAAAGGGACAATTAGCGGGGAACTATGAAATTTGTATCTTGATGTTTAGTTTAATTCGTAATTATCGCAGTTGTTTTGAAATGGCATCATGCATGACTGCAATTATTAGTCTAATGGGTGGTGTGACTGAAATTTGAGGAATTCTTATTGACTAGCTAGCTTGGAAGGAATGTGATGTTGGGCATGGGATGGAAACTGGATGAATTGTTTGTAAAATTAGATCTTAATTTGAGCTCAATTCGCTTTCTGCACCTTGCTAAGGCGATGATAAGTAGCTTATGTACCGGAGCATACTAAAGATGAAGCAATGAAGAGTTTACTGGATCCCAGCAGACCCCTTCCTCCTTTTTACTACTCCATTTAAGAGCATCAAATGACATTCACTAGAATCTAAGCATAAATCAGCTTTTCAGACAAAGGCTGTCCAACTACACACTTTTAAGCATAACATTCCGGCTTTTTGAACAAAAACTAAAGCAAATCACAGGTTCCTAACCCAAACTACAGTCTACATGCCCAAGCTAGCCTCAAAATCATCCAAAAGGTACCATCCGTACCCTTCTACAGTTGCTTTTGTTGGACTTTAATCTTCTTGACTCATTAATCACTTATGTTAGTCACTTGACTGTCAACTTGTTGCTCAATCAATTTAATTCATAAAAAACCGGACCGGTCATATTTTATATGGACCAAATGCTACCCAGATGCAGCTCACACCAACTGCCAGTCGACCCAGCTGTCTTATATTTACCATCCCAATCCTCACAATATTCCATTTAAAACAACAAAAAAATTATCACAGCCGAGCGATTTCAGAGCAAAAAAAAAAATCAATTGTCCCATAAAAATCTCTTAGGAGGGGTTTTGAGACTGAACAGCAGTGAAAATAGAAAGTGTGTCTGATCCGGCCACAGCCTCTCATTTAACAATATCATGACGATAGGAAAACCTTTAAATCACGGGTGTGCTACTCAACTCAATGTTTAAGGAACGATGAAAAAATATTTAAATTAATTTTTTTATAAACAAAAACACACAAAGCAGCAGCAGCGGCAGGCAGGAAGGAGCAAAAAAATGTGAAAATTGACGAACCGGTTCCTTAATAAGGAACGAATGTTTACATTTTGAGGGTTTGTTTTATCGCATAATGATGATGTTATTATTTTTTATATTTGAGCTTATTAAAATCCGTTATTTTTCTATTTTTGAATCTTTTTATGATGTACCGTTATGGTGACTAGTGCTGATTTGCAGATGCAAAAATAATAAAATAAAAAAGATATTAAAAAAAATTAAGTTAAAAAAGAAAAAAAAAGCAAAAAAAATAAAGTCGCTCCTGGGTGGGATCGAACCACCGACCTTTCGGTTAACAGCCGAACGCGCTGCCAATTGCGCCACAGAAGCGATTTCTGATTGATAATGTAACCTGAATAAAAGCTTAACATATTGTGTAAGACTTGTTTTTAATGAATAAAGTTAAAGTCATTTTTTTCTTATCTGAGTTGTTTTTGTTGTTTCAAAAAAATTTATTGCTATTGAACGATGTGAGTTACGAAGAAAAAGAAGAAAAAAAAAGATTGTGTGATTTTGTGTGAGTCATGGCAATGCGGAATGCTGAAAATGAAATAAAACTGATGACGTAGTTAAGTCATTCGTTACTCTCTTCATTTTAGTCGAGTTAATCTCAAACTTAAAAGTTGGAAGAGAATTTTAAAGAGAATAATACTCATAGAATTATCTCAAACCCTTCATATTGTTATCCCCTTGCTCATCCTCTACAATCCATAGACAACCTATAAAACTAACATCTTTTAACATTTCCCCGACTCCAATTCAAAAATCACAGCACATTTAATTGAAAAAGACTAAAATCCCATAAAATATTCAAATGACTTTTATTCTCCCCCCGGAGATTGTCATTTAACCCTTTTTTAAATGCTGTTAATTCTCTTAATCAACAGATTGTCATTGACTCTGTGTTTAATTTCCACCTCCATCCACTGACTCTGTGTTATTAATAATCACTTTTATGGATGTTCTGGTGTTTGCTTTTCTAGTCTTTATTTTTGTGAGGATGGTTTAGGGGGTTCAGAGAGTCGGGATTGGTTGCAATTTTGATTATTAAGTAAAAACAGAAAGAACAGTTCGGTTGTTCCAAATTCAGCTTTGTTCAACGGTACTGAATTCAACTTTGTTCAACAGTTCTGAATTCAGCACATTCAGCGGCACTCAATTCAGCACGTTCAGCAGCGCTGAGTTCAGTTTATTCAGCTGTGCTTAATTCTACCTCAATCAGCAGGGCTGAATTAAGCTTAATTAGCAGTGCTTAATTCAATTTCAATCATCAGTGCAGATTCAGCGCTGAATTCAACCTTAATCAGCAGTGTTGAATTCAGCTTTTTCAGCAGTGCTTATTTCAACTTCTGTCGGATCGGGAAAGCAAACACAAACAATTGATATCGTCGGTAAACTCTATTTATTTGTGTGACAACGGTGAAAACGTTGAATACGGTGAATACGTTGAATACGATTCAATTTTTCTACAATTGAACATATTGTAAGAAAAATATAATTACATTAAATATAAAACCTACTTCGTGAAACACGTCCGATCACGACGAAGTCCAGTGGAAAAAGAAAGATAACCGAACTTGGACTAAATCGGTTCAAATGACAAAATCGGTAAAAACCGATACAAATATGCAAAATTATATCGACCGTTGTTACTCTAAGCAACAAACTTCAATCATCAAGGCTTAATTCAGCTTTTTCAGCAATGCTGAATTCAGCAAATTCAGCAGCGTTAAGTTCAACATTAATCAGTTGTGTTGGATTCAGTACATTCAGCAGTGCTAAATTCAACTTCAATCAGCAGGGCTAAATTTAGCTTATTCAGCAATGCTGAATTTAGCACATTCAGCAGCGTTAAGTTCAACTTTAATCAGCTGTGTTGGATTCAGTACATTCAGCAGTGCTAAATTCAACTTTAATCAGCAGTGCTGAATTCAGTTTTAGTCAGCAGTGCTGAATTCAGCACATTCAGCAGCATTAAATTCAACTTTAATTAGCTGTGTTGGATTCAGCTTAGCTTTTTCTACAGTGCTAAATTTACCTTCAATTTAAGCTGTTCCGAATTCAACTTTGTTCATCAATTCTAAATTCAGTTAAATTCACCTTTGTCCATCAGCGCTGAAATAAGCAAAATAATCCACATTAAAGTTCAACAGCTAACAAATTCCCGTTACACAGCTATCCCTAATTAATATTCAACCCTTTTATTCCATATTATTTTCACTCCCCCAACAGAACACAGAACATGCCTCAAAAACATCGAGTGCCATAAAGTAAATGAGCTCATTGCTATTATCATTTCATAAGCAAATTGTTTTTAATCGCTTTCATTATTCTCATTTCGCCCCCGCTACCTTTTCCTCTCCTTTTGTTCCTATTTATTTCCATATCATGATGATACTGATGGGAAAAATATTCAACATCGACTCGACTGCTGCCGGTTGTGTTTACTTTTTTTATCAACCCTTTTTTTCTTGTTTGCTGCTCCTTTTAACCCTTTTTTTCGGGAACTGACTTTTTGTTGTTGATATTTTTACTATTAAACGGCACTTTTGTGCTTGATATTGATGGACTTCCGTAACCCTTTGCTCCTGCCTTTTAATTGTCTTCATTATGAATATTTACAGCTCTTTATGGAGTTATTTTATGATGAATAATTGCTTTATTTAACGTAGTCATTAGATCATTAGTGAGATTTAATTTTGAGATTTCTTTGTGATTTATTCGAATATTTTGGATGATGTCTTTGGAGTGGGTTGGTATGTCATTTCTGTCGTGTTCTCGTTAACTTGTTAGACAGATTAGGATTTGAGTTCTTTACGTTTTGTGCGGCTCTAGTGTGAAGACACCTGAACCTAGCACCTTAAATGTGAAGACACCTGAACTTAGGAACTTAAGTATATAAAACCTGAACCTAGTTACTCTAGTTTGAAGACAACTAATTTTAATAATTATACTGTGAATGCACCTTTAACTGACCTACTAAAATGTGAATGCATCTGAACCCAATTTGCTCAAGTATAAAAGTTCCTGACCCTTAAAATTTTCAAATTGAAGGCACTTCTACATCAAAATTTCAGAGCAAAGACACCTGAATCTAAAAACTTAAATGTGAAGTCACTTGAGCATCAAAACTTTCATGTGAAGGCACCCGAAGTTCAAACTCCAATGTGAAGGCACTTGTACCTCAAAACTCAAATGTGAAGGCACTTGAGAATCAAAACTCAAATGAGAAGGCATTCGAACATTAAAACTTTTTTGTGAAGGCACCTAAACCTCAAATCTCTAATGTAAAGGCACCTTAACCCTAAGATTCGATTGTAAAGTCACTTGAAGCTTCAAATATTTCGTTTAAAAAAGAGAATCTCTTATAAATTTAGAGTAAATTTACAGATTCATCAAAACAGTCCACAAATAAAAATCAAATTAGTCTTCTTCTAATCTTCAAACAATTAAGTAAAGACAGCCAAAATCATGAAGCTTGTTATCGCGAGTCTTGCCTTCCTAATTGTAGTGATAAGCGGAGCAAAAGTCAAACCTACTCAAGAGTCACTAAATGATGCTTATAATTCAATGAAAGCATCAAATGAAGCTGAAGCTCAAAAACTTAAAGATAGCAACATGCTGCTTAAGCAAGATAACTTCGATTGCATCAAGGCAACCTTAAATCTATCAGAAAATGGCAATAAAGTTATGAGCAGAAGTCTTGCTTCTGACTACGTAATGATTGCACTACTTAAATGTTACAGTGACGAAGGTCAGAAGGAGTTTTTTGTCTTCATGCTCGAGATTTTGGTTTACAATCTGGCCAAAAATGATAACCACAGATGCAACAAAGTCATGCTGCAAAAATTGGACCCAACATCTAAATTAGTAGAAAATTTCGACAAAACTGTCACAAACGAGGAAGTAAAGGCATGTGACACACCAATTCCTACAGATAAATATGAGTTTGTAAAAAATATCGTACTTACACGCACAGGCAGCAAGCCATGCTACGAAGATTTGGATATAAAGACAATTTATTATCTGGTGCTGGTCATGACGAATGAGAAAAGTCAAGATTTAATTGATGCTGAGTCAATTCGTTATGCTGAAGGTTTTAGACCAAAGTTTGCTAAATTTTTGACATGCACGATGAATGACTTGATGGCGAAATTATAAAATATTGAATAAAATTTTTAAAAACATTATTTATAACTTTTTTATTGACATTTGAGCAATAATACATGCAAAAGAAGTATTCCTAAACTTGATGCAATTGTAATTAAAATAAATAAAATGATCAAAGGCCAAATATTCAATCCAACTGCCATGTCATTGATAGGCTCCATATAGCAGTCCAAAAGACCATTCAAGTCAGCTTTAGAAAATCCTGATTTAAAGCATTTTGTTTGTTTTGGCAACAATTTTTCAACAGCTTTGAGATTTTTACTTATTTCATAATTGGAAAGTATTGAACATGAATAAAATGCAAGATTTAGAACAGCATCGCCAAGCATCTTATCAACTTCCTTTCTACCATTTTGGGATATGTTTAACTTGTCTTCAACGCAGTCCAAGTTGGAATATTCTAAGTTGTACTGACTGTTCTTTGCTGCTGTTTTGAATTGACGATAAAATGAGCTAAGCACATAAGCATTAACAGCAATTGTGCTTGATAGTATCACAAAAATTAGAATTACTTTATTCATTTTCGGGAGGCACTCGACAGATCACTTTAAGGCTTTGATTTAAACTAAACTAAGGTTTTCACAATTTAATACATTTTGATGTTTTTTTATAATAATTCGGAACGATTATTGACTTTAAGTTTAAAAGGAACTAATACATAACTTAATAATACATCACAACTGCTTTGCAGGCACGTAGCCACAGGAAGATTTCAGGGGCCTAATGGATTAGGCCCCCTCTTGTTAGTATAGTGAGTATAAAAGTCGTTACAGATGAGAAAAAGCACATTTTCATCAAAAACAAAGATCCAAGCAGATTAAAGTCATTAAAGGAACCAGAAACTAAGACCCAGGAAGATATAAGTCATTAAAGGAACCAAAAACAAATATCCAGGAAGATAAAGTCATTTAAAGAACCAAAAACAAAGATCCAGGAAGATTAAAGTCATTTAAGGAACCAAAAACAAAGATCCAGAAAGATTAAAGTCATTTAAGGAACCAAAAACAAATATCCAGGAAGATTAAAGTCATTTAAAGAACCAAAAACAAAGATCCAGGAGAATTAAAGTCATTTATGGAACCAAAAACAAAGATCCAGGAAGATTAAAGTCATTTAAGGAACCAAAAACAAAGATCCAGGAAGATTAAAGTCATTTAGGGAACCAAAAACAAATATCCAGGAAGATTAAAGTCATTTAAAGAACCAAAAACAAAGATCCAGGAGGATTAAAGTCATTAAAGGAACGAAAAACAAAGATCCAGGAGAATTAAAGTCATTAAAGGAACCAAAAACAAAGATCCAGGAAGATATAAGTCATTAAAGGAACCAAAAACAAAGATCCAGGAAGATTAAAGTCATTTAAGGAACCAAAAACAAAGATCCAGGAGAATTAAAGTCATTAAAGGAACCAAAAACAAAGATCCAGGAAGATTAAAGTCATTTAAGAAACCAAAAACAAAGATCCAGGAAGACAGCCTAGCAAGATTGAACCAAATTCAACATTATTTTTAATGTTTTTTAACTTTTATTTTAAAATTCTCAATAAAATTCTTCAAACAATTAAAAATCTTTTCATTTTGTCCGATTGAGTCATTGACAATATTTCTCAAACCCGCACTTTTTGTGTCTTCATCTTCTTCCTCAGTCAAAATGTACATCTTCAATGTGATAATCTTGTTGGCCTTGAAATCAGCACAGTCAACATACGACACGTTTGTTGTGAAAAAAGTAAATTGAGAGTCAAAATTTTTCTTAATTTTATCGCTGATTTTCATTTTTCGGCACGCAAATGTGTCAGATTGGTTAAGTTGTGGATCTGGATATGATGAGTCCTTGACTGTCCTGTGCAGTTCCCACTTCATGCATTTGATGACATTTGGATTTTTGGCAACAAACTTTTCAATTCCTTCAAACTTTTTCTCAATGTCACTTTCAATGTACGAATCTGAGCAGATGATGAGTCCAAATGTTAATGTAGCTATAGCCAGCTCAGCATCGATTGTCTTATTTCCATTATTTGTCAAATTCAACTTCTCCTCAAGACATTGAAAGTTCGGATCACTCAGGTACGACTCACTGTATGGCATTTTAATCAATGTCTTCTTATAGCCATCGAGATAATTTTTGATTGAATTTTTATGTCCACAAAATCCATAAAATAGTGAAAAACTAATGAAAAATATCAAAATCAGCTTCATGATGCAAACATTAAGCTAAATTGGTCACTGAGCTACTGATTAAAGCTTCAGTAAATATTGAAAATTATTTGAACGGAATCTACGCGTGTACTCAAAAAAAATTGTAAAAAAGTCTAGTCGCGGGAGAGAATATTTTTGTCACGATTTAAAGTAATTCATTGCACGGTCAATCGCATGCGATTAAATTCCTGACCTATCCACGACTCGCTCGAAACACCGCATTTCGAGGGGGATTCGGATTGTTTCTCATTTAGTTCTAGCAAATTGACGAAATGGTCACGTCAAGGTTGAGTTTTGATTACGTTTGATAGTGTACTTGGGGCTGGTATGCTGGGTATTACATGGGAAACATAACCTAGAACCGAACAGCAATTGACATAAAGTTGTCTGTGGAATAAATCAAAATTAATTATGGTTAGGATTGAGTACCTGCAGTAGGGTAGTAGCATGGGGTTTTAAGTTTTCAGGGTCATGACATTGGGGGGGGGGGGGGGGGGGGGGGGGGGGGGGGTGGGACAAAACCCTTTTCTTCATTTTTCTAGAGTTTTTATGAAAAACGCAACCCCCCCCCCCCAAAAGTTTTCCATGCAAAAAAATTTGCCCCCCCCCCCCCAAAGTTTTCCATGCAAAAAAATTTGTCCCCCCTCCCCCAAAAGTTTTCCATGCAAAAAAATTTGTCTCCCCCCCTCTTCAAATTCCTGGCTTCAAATTCGCCCCTGGGTTCGATTATATATGACGTCACAGGGTAAGGGGAGAGCTTATGGAGCTCTAGAATCTGTAAATTTATTGAAAATTTTCCTTTTTTTAAAAAAAATTTGACCGCTATTTTTGGACGTCATTTATGAATAAGCTGTCAAACTGCGCACTTTTGAGCGGGACAGTCCCACTTTTTTGAACCTATTTTTCTTGGAAAATGCTTGAAAAATTTGGTCTGTTCTGCTTTCTCAGAGCTGAAATCGGAACATGCCCAGCTTTTTGGCCAAAAAGCTACAAAACCTCTATGGATAGCCTAATTATGAACTATCCCGTTCCTATGCTATTTACAGCTGGCAACTGAAGCTTTAGCTCGGACCACAAATGTCATATAAAAATGTCAGGATACCAAAAATCTTTCAAAACAGAGCAAGTTATCGGTTTGAGCCCCATCCCACCCCCTCTTCCCCTCTTCCCTTTGCTACCTCCCCAGCTAGCCCAAGCTACAAGCCTCTGATCTACTTCTTTACTAAAATGTATGCCATTATTTTGATTGAATAAATTGTATGAATTAAATTGACACATGTGGATATCAGAATAGTAAATAATCTCAATTCGCAGAACATTAGTTCGTTTACAAGCACAGAATCAATTGGAGCAGATGTGTGAAAAAAAATGTAGAATATTTTAATGGTTGTGACTATTTTGAGTACACCCGAATAGCACAAATCGGTTAATCGAATAGAAAGCCAGCACCAAGCTGAAGTGACTCTGTCGTTGAACTGCATTTACGATGGTGCCAGATTTCAATTCGATTAGCCGACTTGTGCTATTCGGGACAGTCTGTGGATAGTGTATCAAAAAGCCAAAGACAGTTAAATAACCAGGTTAAGAAGTCGGTTAAATCAGCTTTTAAAAGGATCTAGTTGACAGCACACAATGTGAAAATTTAGATTTAATTAAAACGATTCGATAGATGCTGCAAAAAGCTGAAGAAGATCTCGTTAGCACCGCACTTAAATGCTTGAATGCTGAAGCTGAAGACAGACAGTTAATCTTGTTGTTGACGATTGCTGGAGAAACTAGGGCTGACGTAGAGGATTCTTAAGCTAATAATTTTTTGAAAAATGCTAGAACACAGCTTGGGACGTTCTTGAATTGCATAATGAAGACTGTTGAAGACGTGGACGGGGCATTGGTGACTACGTAGTCAAAAACTAATTGAGGGAGGGAGGTCAGGACCTTGGGAGGTCTGGCTTAGTAAAACAAAATGAGGGGATTGGGGGAATGGGTTTAATTCCAAGGGGGAGGAGGCGTTTGTGTGTATAACTGTAAAATGTTGGCGAGCGGGTGTTTCCAACTCTGAAATAATTGAAATCAAACAATTGCGGATAAGGGTTGCGGTCGATACCTCCTTTATTAATAATATTGAATTCTAATCAACAGCATAAACATTTCAATAAAGCAAAAAGCAGCAACAAAACCACAAAAGTCACTGCTCCAATGATCAAAATCATATCCCAACTAGTTTTATTGAATTCCTCCTGAATACAATCCAATATTTTGTCACCTTCTTCATTCAAGCATTTTACTTCCTTATTATTGAGTGCGTTGGCACCACTGTTCTTAAATCTAACATGCTATTTATAGTCTGAATCTATAATTGATAACTGTAAGATGACACCCAAAGGTGTCATCTTACGTTATCATTACTCATGGACTCATGACTCATGTGAACTATGATTCATGTATGTCCATGACTCATAAACTTGTAAAAAAAATAATAAAGTATAGATAAACTTAAAACAACCACTGCAAGCTTCAGCTACCGTCTTTATAAATATATTTGCTATATTGCTGTTCACGTTGTCATTTTTTGCTTCTTTAATTTTGTTATCAATGCATGAGAAATTCTTAAAACTATTAAAAACTTCTAAATTTGAGGTTTTAAATTCTTCGTAATGTTGCGATAAAGTTTTTGAACTCCAGAAAAATCCATCGACTGTGCTGGTCAGGAACACAAGGAATAAAATTTTTGAATATAATTTCCACATGTCACTTGAGATTACAACTGTTATTGGAGACTGATTAATGTGAACTAATTAGCAGCTATTGTTGAGTTTGACTGAGTTTGCTTCATGATTTTTTGGATGTTTTTATTCGATTATTCATTTATTAAGTCTAATACAATTTTGATTTATTTATGACACATATTGTGAAATCAAGTGAGATTGGAAGTCCTCATTTTCAATGTTTATGTCGTTTTTAATGAAACCTCAATTTTTTTTTTATCATAATGAATTTAGAAATCCCACCCCAAATCCCTTGTCTGTCTTCAAACTCGTCATAGATGTTAACTTATCAGTGTCTTCTTGTAGACGTAGACACCCCTCCTCCCCACACCCCACCCCTTCTTTAGACACACGATTATAAGGTTTTAGGTTTTCTGAGATCTCATTAACCAAACATTGTAGAGAGCTCGGGTTGGTTTTATAAGTTCAGTTCCGATGTTTTATCACGGACAATCGCATTTAAAAGTCTTAAAACAGTGTTTTTGTACTTTAATTAATGACTTTTTTTATTTACAATGAAAAACACGTTTTGAGAGCGCTAGAAAAATTTTAATTTATTTCTACCGTTACAAAATTTGAACTTCAGAAAACCGTTAAATGATAAACAATTTATAAATGAGAATATTATATCAAATTGTTAATTAAACCAAAACTAAAAATTTTTTAAAGCAAATTTTAAACAAACTAGTGTATCGGGTAGAAACCCAATGCGGATTATATTCACACCGTACTATCATAAGTCTAATGGATAGACCAAGATTTGCCCATCATAAGTATGAAGGTATGAAGCTTGATAAGTCAACTAAGCTTCGCTCAGCATAAGTTTGAAGTTATAAAGCTATCGCGTAAGCTGAGTTATGCTCAGCATAAGTTTGAAGATATAAAGCTAGAGTGTCAGCTGAGCTACGCTCAGCAAAAGTTTAAAGATATAAAGCTAGAGAGGCAGCTGAGCTTCGCTCAGCATAAGTTTGAAGATATAAAGCTAGAGTGTCAGCTGAGCTACGCTCAGCAAAAGTTTAAAGATATAAAGCTATCGCGTAAGCTGAGTTATGCTCAGCATAAGTTTGAAGATATAAAGCTAGAGTGTCAGCTGAGCTTCGCTCAGCATAAGTTTGAAGTTATAAAGCTATCGCGTAAGCTGAGTTATGCTCAGCATAAGTTTGAAGATATAAAGCTAGAGTGTCAGCTGAGCTACGCTCAGCAAAAGTTTAAAGATATAAAGCTAGAGAGGCAGCTGAGCTTCGCTCAGCATAAGTTTGAAGATATAAAGCTAGAGAGGCAGCTGAGCTTCGCTCAGCATAAGTTTGAAGATATAAAGCTAGAGTGTCAGCTGAGCTACGCTCAGCAAAAGTTTAAAGATATAAAGCTATCGCGTAAGCTGAGTTATGCTCAGCATAAGTTTGAAGATATAAAGCTAGAGTGTCAGCTGAGCTACGCTCAGCAAAAGTTTAAAGATATAAAGCTAGAGAGGCAGCTGAGCTTCGCTCAGCATAAGTTTGAAGATATAAAGCTAGAGTGTCAGCTGAGCTACGCTCAGCAAAAGTTTAAAGATATAAAGCTATCGCGTAAGCTGAGTTATGCTCAGCATAAGTTTGAAGATATAAAGCTATCGCGTAAGCTGAGTTATGCTCAGCATAAGTTTGAAGATATAAAGCTAGAGTGTCAGTTGAGCTACGCTCAGCATAAGTTTGAAGATATATGTAAAGCTATTGAGTCAGCTGAGCTATGCTCAGCATAAGTTTGAAGGTATAAAGCTTGACGAATATGCCAAATATTCTTTAAAAGTTTTTTAAAAAATTTTTTTATCCAAAGTTGAATTTTATAAAAATCACAGTCAACTTTTGTTTTAAAAATTCGTAAGAAAGGAAAGTTTTTTGCTTTTTCTTAAGCAACGGCTGTTCCTACCTTGCCCAAAAACAATACAGCTCTTCTATAGAGCAGCACGGATCAAATGTAAAAAACTAGAAGTCTCTACGATGTCTCGTTATTGAGATTTCTTGCTGATTAACTTGCTTGTTTGCTTGTTTGCTTGTTTGCTTGCTTACAGAAAGCATATTTTTCGATTTTCTCAGCAATGCCGCAACCAATTTGAAATCTGTTTTTTGCAAAAGATGTGAAATTCAAGGCAAAAATTTTTTATCTCTGAACATTTTAAGCTATCTTGCTCCATATCCTCCATATCCTTCACACGTGAAAACGGTGTGAATATAAAAATATCAAATATTCAGTTGGCGTTTTAATTATGCTGTAATTTACTATTGAATCCATGTTAATTAATCAATCGAATACTGATTGCTGCGTCAAAAATACGCTGAAGTCCCTTGATCAATAACACGAGGACTTTTGTAAGTTTTTCAATAAATCTGGCATAAATTGGACGTCATTTATGTACGACCCTAAAAGTTGAGGATGTGTACGATTTAATACATTTTGATGATACAGCCAATGAGATTTTAGAGCATGTTTAATATTTTGCCCTCAAAACTTAACCGAATTAAGATCTTGAAGGTCTTCGGGAGCTATTTTCTTGAGGTTTCTTTGGAAGATCATTAAAGCCATACAGATGGGGTTTAAGGGAATCTAGGGTGAGGACATGAATGAAAATGTAATGCAGTGATGGCCAACCGATGTGCCGCAAAAAATTTGGAAAAATCCCAAGAACCATGTGCTGCGTGCAGTTTTGGTCATTACTTACCACAATCATTTGTCATTTTACAAAAAAGGTTGTACACCACTGATATAAAGCCTGTGATGCTTCCTTTGATTATTTTAATTAGATTAGACAAGAAATCACTCAATTGTGATCAACAATCTTCCTTAGATGTTGCTGGAAGCAGGCTTTATCTCTGGCTACAGTTTGTTAATTTCCAACACCAACATCAATGCTGTTTCCATCAATAGCCATCCACGATGAGTTTTTGGATCAACCACATGCAATCTAAAATGTCAACAAGTGAGATCCAGCATGTCATAGTTAGTCATTCATTTTGTAGCTTAAAACATCATTTACACTCGTCAAATGAATCAGCAAATTTAATTCCACATTAGAGAAAAATAAATTTAATTTTGAGTCACTTTGAAGTCATCCGTTGAACAATTAAGATATTAAAAATTAATTTTTTGTTGAAATTCACAATTTAAATATAAAAAAAATACTCAAATTAGGCCTAAGTTGAAAAAAATCAGCAAATTTAAAAATGGCATTAAAAGAAATATTTGTGTAAGTTTAAAATTGTTCTCAAAAAATTATTAAACTAAAAATTAAAATTATTTTAATTTTCAGCTTTGTTGCTTGCTTTGCTATGCTGTGTGGATTTGGTGATTCTGTTGAAATTCAATGCGAATATGGAACTGATTCCTACTTTGCTGTTCGTTTTGTTTATGAATGCAGACTTCGAAACACTCTCAACATAAAATCAAGAGAATCAGCTGTGATTAATTCGGTGAATGGAAGTCATTTAAGTGGCAAGAGCAATGCTGATGTGACTGGTTTTTGGTCATCGGATTCCTCTTATGTCATCGAATATTTCCCGCGTAATTTGGACAATATTTTCACAAATCTCAAAATGATTGAAATCCAATATGGTCGCCTGAAGGAAATTCAGCAAAGTGATTTGAGGCCTTTTACGAAGTTGGTGGTTCTTAGCTTGTATGATAATAACATTGAATTTCTTGAGGACGGATTGTTTGCTTATAATCCAGAATTGAAATTTGTTGACTTTAGTGCCAATAAAATAATTCACATTGGCTCTCAAGTTTTTGACAATTTAAATACATTGACTTCGTTGTGGCTTCATGAAAACAAATGCATCGACATGGATGGTAACAACATTCAAACATCAGTGAAAGAAGTCATCAGTCAAGCAAAGTCAAGATGTTTAGACTATCCAGAAATTGACAAAGACCTCCAAAAGCTGGAAAACTCACTGCTTTATGTCAGTTCCGAATCACTTCCAATTTTCGATCAAAATCTTCAAAAACTTCAAAGTCGATTCCAAAACTCAACAATCTCACAGTATTTACCTCTTAAGGAACGATTCCAGGCAATTACGAGTTGGAAGTCTAAAAACATTTGGACAGTCAAGGATAAAATGTCGTCAATCGAAACTGCTCTCGCTAGTTGCAAGTCGGAACTCAACCAAATAAAGATCATCAACACAACAGGAAAGGAAGCAAATAATACAAATGACGAGAAGACCTTTACAGGACAAAATGTCTCCAAATACATCATAATAGTCATCAGCTCAATTTGGGGTCTCATTAATATTGTTCTCATCATCATCTTCAATCAGTTTGCAATGTGAACAGCTGACTAAGCTTGACTCAGCACTTGAAAGATGCCTGACCAACCTCAACATGATTAAAACTTTAAATTACTCACCTTATTTTAATTATTATTCACATATTTTATCTCATATTTACTGGATTATTTACTCATTTATGGGTCATGTGTAGATTGTGTAAGGCTTACTAGGAAAGATGTTTGCGGAGTGGCTGAATGTGGATTCATAATTGGATTACATAATTTACATATGACTTATTAAATTTATTTTCAGCTTGTTTGCTTATTTTGTGCTTTGTTGATAAACAATTTTATTTTTTCCTAATAATTTTATTGAATTAGGTTCAATTCCTGGTCATTTCTACTTATAATAATCATTTATACTCAACAAAAATTATATTTTTATACCTTTATTGTATTTTTATTTTATTTTGAATTTTTAATAAAGCTTTTTGCCGCTTGCAATTTCTTGTTTTTTTACTTAAATCTAAAAGTCATTCTAGCAATCTTGATCCTGATTTTTTGAGAATCTAGTCCTTAATTTGAACAATCTGGTACGGCGATTTTGAAAATCTAGTCCATAATATTAGAAAACATGTCCTGATTCTTTTAAAAATCTAGTCCATTTTTTTACAATCTAGTACAAAACTTCGACGAATCTAGTCCGCAATTTTAAAAATCTAGTATTTTGTATTTAGAATTCTAGTACTTAATTTGATCAATCTAGTACTGCAAATTTGAAAAATTAGTAGATAGTTCTAAAAATCAAGCCCAGATTTTTTTAAATAAATTAAATTTTTAATTTTTTCCAATCTAGTCCATAATTTTAGAATCTAGTACTGAATTAACAGCAATCTGGTCCTTGATTTGAACTATTTAATATTGAGTTTTTAGCATTTTAGGACTTAATTTTTTAAAGAAATCTAGTACTAATTTTTTTCAACAATCAAGTCCTAAAATAGTTACTAATCAAGTACGTAATTCATCGTAAATTTCACTTAGTCATCGTTCAGTTAGCTAATTATCATCTCAAAAACCGCAACAATTTTGCTCATATCTCGTTCATTATTAAATCATCCAAATCCAAATTATTCACAACTGAATTCCTCTCAAAACCTTATTCATTGCTGTCTATGCAAAATAATCTTCCAAAAATAAAGAAATTTAAAAAAATAACTTATACCTTTAAATTCCCACCCAAACCCTTCTCAATTCGATGTCTTCGATTTCAACCCGCAAATCCATCGATTCATTAATTTCACATATTTTCCTCCCTTATTTTTCACCATTCCTGGATGAAGCCTGACTCATTCAAATCTATTTGTATTTTAGTTGCTGTCTCATTTTAAATAGCAACAAACTCTGTGGTTTCTATTGCTTCAAAGATCTAAATTCATCACCGACCCACAGACTTACTGACTTTCAAAAATGTCCGACTTAAATCAAGTGTAAAAAGCCAGTAACTTAATCAGACGGTTTATCGGCTTTGGTGTAATTCACATATGACGTCCATAAAAGAAGTAACACAGCATCAGATAATCCCTAATTACCCAAAAAACTTGGACATAATTTATGAACGTCCCTTTACCTAAAAAAACATTTTATTGAAAATATGTCAGAATTTCCAGTTGGAATTAATTTTATTTTAATTGCTACATTTTCATAAAATATCGTCGACATTAATGACAAACTTGTTTTTTTTTCTTCTTATTTCTGGAGTTCCTGCTGTAAACATTGAGATTCTGTTTGTATAAATTAAGCACAAAGTGCAACATTACTTACAGTAATCAGTTGACAATCAAGCAGTTTAGTCATCATGAAGACATTTGTGTTAATTTTTACACTGTCACTTATTTGTGGATCAATGTCAGATGACACAGGACCTTTTGGCAAAGCCTTTGAAGATTTAACAAAATCCATCAAGTTAGTCAGTCATTCCATATCATATGACAAATACATCAACAAAATTGTCTTAGACTGTACCGAAAAGTCATTGAACCTTACTCAAAATGACGACACAATAATCAGTGAAAGGCAGGCTATGATATTAGCTATAGCAGCTTACGTCGAGTGTCTACAAACAAATGAAAACGAACCTTTGGGCATTGGTGGAATGATCAATTCAGATAAAGACGAACTGTCAGGCTTCCATTCTGAAACCATTCAGGACATTGAGCCGACTTATCCAGGGTTTTTTTGGAGATTGGAAGGAGGAATAGGTGGAAGATTGGATGACAGAGAAAAATTTGGCGGATTATCAAAAATTAAAATAATAAGTTAATTTTTTCAAACTAACATGATTTTTAAAATTTCATCTTATTTAATTTTTGTTTTTTTTTTAACAAATTTTTAAACTTTAATTTAATAAAAACTTTAGATGAAAAAGTCATTTCAATTTAACAAATATTTATCCAGTAAAAATGACTTATTATGTAAACTGTTTGGTTTTTGGTGGCATTTTAGTTGCTGCATATGACAAAAGTAGTTGCTCAACTTAAAACGGAACTGCTTAGTTCCAATAAACGCTTTTATGTCCACAAAAATAACAACATTTTTTCAATGTAGTTTTAGAAAATGACTATAAACGTGGGGAAAATTTTTAAATTTTGACCAAATTTAAAAAAAAAAATAAAATGTAAGATTTCTTAATAAACTGAAATTCCTTCCTCCAAAAACAATTCGGTTTTTAAAAGCGACGCTTAATTTTTTTTCTTTGAAAATAAAACATTACTTTAAAAACAAGTCTTCGCTTCAAAATAAATCGTTGCTTTAAAATAAATCGTTGCTTCAAAATAAATCGTTGCTCCAAAATAAATCGTTGCTTCGAAAATAAATCGTCGCTCCCAGAAATTAGGCTTCACATCAGAAGTTAGTCATCGCTAAAATTAAAGGTCGTCATTTATCAAAAATGAATCGTTACTGCAACAAAAAAAAATGAAAAACAAGTCTTCGCTTCGAGAATGACGTTACTTTAAAAATAAGTCGTTGATTCAAAAAATAAATCGTTGATTCAAAAAATAAATCGTTGATTTAAAAATAAGTCGTTGCTTCGAAAATAAATCGTTGTGTCAAAAATAAATCGTTGTGTCAAAAATAATTCATTGCTTCAAACCCAAAGTTCAGCTATTTGAAATATTCAATATTCTTTCTCAAATTGAGCTCACTTTTAGGAAAGACTAAGAATTTCAAGAGCACAATGAGAGAAAAATCTCTAAATTTTTAGTAAATTTTGACCAACACCAATCAGTTGACGTTCAAACTTACCTAAAGTTAGAGGCATTATTTCAAAAAAAAAAAAAAAATGTCAAAAATCGCTCTGTCGCTTATTATTTTCACCGTTTTAACGACTACTGCCTCATCAGCTGTTTCATCAAAATCCAAAGAATATTTAAAGCTAAAAGATGTTCTAAACAAAGCAAAGGAAACGTTGCAATCCATCCCAGAAGCCAATCAGTTGTCAAAATACATTAAAAAAATTAATTTTGATTGTATTGAGGAAAAGTTGAATTTAATAAATAATGGCGAGAAATCAGTGACTGTTTATGAAGGCCAACTTGTCATTTTATCATCATACCTCAAGTGTATTGATGAGGATCAGCCAAAACTCCTTAATTTGATCATTAATTCAATGGGACTCGATAAGAACGACGACATTGTCGACTGTGCAAAATTAAAGCTGCACAAAATCGATCCAAAATCAAGATTTATCGACAATTTCGATATTAAGTCAGTCAATGCATCATATGCTGAATATTGTGAGATATTTACATCTGATAAAGGTTTCGATGAGAGTGTGACAAATTTAGAAGAGCTTTTTGGTCCACTTGAAGAATTCACATGCGGTGCAGTCAGCAAACTTGATGTAATCAAATTCATTGTCAATATCCATGTCCTGCCTTTTGAAATCAGAGAGAACGTGAGAGTTGTGATGACAACAGAGATGATTGAGACATTTAAAATGAAGATGATCAGCACAGCTGACTGCATTATCGGCAAAACTCGATAAGGAACTGGATTGAATTAGATTTTGTCACTTTTTTGAATTTGACTTGGGATTTGTTCATATATGATGTCTATTGTTTTGATGCAGTATTGTTTTTTTTAATGAAGTTGATCCTGTTGCTTAAACTAAGACACATAAAAGATCAAAAATCCTATCATTGACACTCCCGAAAGGCACAAGTCGGTTAATCGAATAGAAATCCGGGGCCTAGTCAGCATGAATCTGGCATGGTGCTGGCTTCGATTAAAATCCAGCGCCATGCCAGATTCACACTAGCTTGGTGCCGGATTTCTGATCGATTAACCGACTTGAAAGAACCCCAAATAATAATTTTTGATAATAAAAACTAAGAAATTTCACTCAAAACAGCCTCAAATGTGTCAAATCAGTAATCATTTTGCCGCCAAATCACTCAGTCATGAAGCTCGTTATCACTTTAATATTCAGCATCATTTTTGGATGTCAAGGGTCAATAATTGTGGATTCAAATAAACAAAATAATTTGTCACTGCGACAAGCTTTCAACAAGATAAATGAAGTCACTGCGGGGCTGTTTGATCAACAGCCAGTTGACGAGTTGTTCCAGAAATCATTAAACCTCACCTGCATCGAAGCTTTCTTGAAATTAGACAAAATTGGCAGAAAAGTCATCAACAAAAGCCTCACAAAATGGATTTTTGCCATGACTAGCTTTCAATGCATGACCGACGACCAAAAAAATGAATTTTTGACACTTTTTATCACAAATGGATTCAAAATCTATGAACATGAAGCAGGAGGACATAGATGCAGTAAGTTGTTACTCCTTAAAACCGATCCGAGCTCAAAAATGATTGAAAATTTCGATGAAGATCTTGATGATGTGGAAGTAGAGCTTTGTGAGCAACTGTTGATTGCTGATGCACTTGACAGCATCGTTGATGAATATATTGGAGACTTTAATGCACCTGAATGTGTTGAGAGGATTAGGGAGCATCAAAAGACGTTTATGGTTGTGTTTTTGAACTTAGCTGTTGAGGATGATCAGGAAGTGTTGGAGTTTGAGATGAAAAACTGTGTGGAGGTCATTAAGGGGAATATAGCTGAGGTTTTTGAGTGTTTAATGAATAAGCTGGATTAGAATTTTACTTAAGTGTCTAAGATGATTTGTTTAATTAAAATAAATAAAGATTAAATTCAAATTCATCATTAACTCATGATTCGAAACTTTGATTTAAAGATGCGAAGCTTTGCTTCAAAGATGCAAACCTTTGCTTCAAAGAAGCAAACTTTATTCTGAAAGAAATGAATCTTTGCTTCAGAGATGCAAACATTTGCTTCAAAGATGCAAAAACTAGCCTCAAAGATGCAAAAACTAGCCTCAAAGATGCAAAAACTAGCCTCAAAGATGCAAAAACTAGCCTCAAAGATGCAAAAACTAGCCTCAAAGATGCAAAAACTAGCCTCAAAGATGCAAAAACTAGCCTCAAAAATGCAAAAACTTTTCTCAAAGATAAACAGTTTGCCTCAAAGATGCAAAAGTATGCCTCAATGATGCAAAAATTTGCCTCAAAAAGGCGAAATTTTGCTTCAAAAATTCATAAAACTATTAAAATATTTATTGATTTGAATCATTTTTAAAAAATTACAAAAACTGAACCTAATAAATGCTCAACTTACTCATTCGACAATTAAAAACCTGATCTACAGTATCAGCTAAAATGACTGCAAAATCTTCAATCTCTGCCTCATCAGTCTGACCTTCTTCTGCATTCCATAAAATTTGCATTTTAAAAACAATTTTCCTTAAATTCATCAAGTCAAAAGCACCGCACGTAAAGTTTGAAACATAATCAATTCCTTTCCATATTTTTGGAACTCCAATAGCATCTGATATCATCATTCTGGTGTTAAAATCGTCAGCCTTTGTTTTTTCATCGCAATATTCTTTCTCGTCATCCGACATTGATTCTGGATTGAAGCTTTTGACCAGACAAGAAGTTGGATCCAATTTGTGTAAGTTAAGTTTAGTGCAAGGAAGGTCATCGGATTTTGTATCAAATACTGAATGTCCTGGCTTGTGCCTAATGGCATTCTTGAAAAACTCAACAGCTCCAAATTCTGAACATGATGTAATCGCTTTCGTCATTAAAACTTCACTTTCGAGTCTAAAAATTTCTTTATCGCCATTTTCAGACAGTTTAAGCTTCTCTTTGATGCAGTCAGTGTTGAGGTTCTTGTAGAACTTGTCATTTGAATACAAGGATCGAGTCACAACATTCTCGAGATTTTTGTTGAGCGTCCATTTTATTCTGTCATTTTTGCAGTAATTTATTTGATTTACTCCGAAAAAAATTATTAAAATTTGGACAAAAACTAGCTTCATCATCTAATGCTGGCTGCAGTTATCAATCAACTGATTAAAATGAGCTGATGCACATTGCTAAGGTTATGTCGAGGGGGAAACAGCATGATGGGGAAAACATGTTGATTTTTTGCAGGGGACGCAACCAGAAAAGGATGTATCGTTATCCTACAACACCCCCCCCCCCCCAAGGGGGTAATAACATGATAGGAATGTGAAAAATTAATTTCTTATTCCCATCATGTTGTTATCTCTAGGGTTTTCAATCCCGGGATCCCGTGATCCCGCGTTTTTTTTGGTCCCGTAATCCCGGTATTGAAAACAGCTTCAATCCCGGTATTACGGGATTGAGTAAGTAGTTAAAATTTTTTAAAAAATTCTTAAATTTTGTAAAAAAATTCGTTCGCAAGAAATACAAATAATTCTCATATTCATGACCAAGATCAAAGTCAACCATCAAGTATTATACATCATTAGAAAGGTTCTGACTTAAGCTATAATAAACAAAATTAAAAAATAGTTTGTTTTGTAAGAGTACTAGTGGTTTGAGTGATGAGAAAAGCATACAAGTCGTCAGATTTCAAATGTACCCAATATCTCATCAAATTTTAAACTTTTTGAAAAAATTTCTTCACCATTTGTTTTGTAACAGTATTTTTGATTAGAAAACATGAAAAAACTTATTTGTATTCATTGATTTATATTTTTTATAAGCAATTTTAGTTTTTGGTTAAATATTCATCGACTCACTAAAATCGCAATAACTTTTTAATGCAGAACTATATTGGACAAAGTTCATACAGTTCTGAAAACTACAAGTCAAGGGCTACATGTTGGTGTGATTCTACCCCCTACTATTCTGCGATCTAAGATACTTGCGGCACGTGTGAAGATATTTTTCCACTGTTTTTCTTACATATCCTACCATAGCGGTACCAAAACAACAAAGTTAAAATCTTTGTGGAATATCAAAATAAAGCTCTCATATATTTCTATTAGGAACTGAAAACCGTTTTTCAATATCTTTAATAATCATAAGGAACTTTAGATTTAAAGAGGGCATAAAAAAATCAGAATTTTCACTCATTTTCAACTTTAAACAGTCACAAAATCGCAGGAACAGCACCAAATGACTTGAAATTTGGCATAGAAGTCTATTTTTATGTCCTATACAAGAAAAAATATACCTGAGTTTGTAATTCGAAAAAGTCCCAAAATCAAAGTGAAAGTCCCTTTTTTTTCAATTTTGCCCCATAGTGTACTTTTCAAAATGAAAACCTTATTTTAAGATTATTAGTCCTTAATTTTCTCTTTTTTGCTTAATCATTAACAATAAACATACATAGAACAAATATAAAATAAGAATTTTTCTCTCAAACGAAGATTTTATGTTTTATTTATTGAAAATTTTAAGGCTTCTTTAATAATCTCTTAATCCCGGGATTCCCCGGGATCCCGGGATCGAGAATTTTCAATCCCGTAATCCCGGTATTGAAAATTTGGACCGGGATTGAAAACCCTAGTTATCTCCTTGAAAAAATCAACAAGATAATAAGTTGTTGACTATTTAATTTGCAATATTTAAAGCTGTAAACATCGTCAGTTATCAGTAAACAGTTCCTTTAAAATGAAGCTAAACGTTCTCACAGGAATCGCTATAATAAGTTGTGTCAATGCAATCCCAATTAAATATGATTCGCTGAACAACATTTACAAGAATTTGATCCCAACTATCGATGGCTTTGCTACGAATGTTGACGTCGATTGTGTCGAGTCGAAGCTTAACCTAGCAAAAAATGGCAATAAAATTGTAAAAAGTCAACAAGGCTTCATGCTGGTACATTACGCAGCTTTTTTGTGCTCTGAGGAGCTGACAAAGTCGAGAATTGACGAGAAGCTTACTGAAGTCAGACAAGTTATTACATTGTTGGAACCACGGACTGAAAAGTGCTTGAAAATTTCACTTTGGGAATTGGAACCGGATTCACCACTTTTGGATAATTTTAACAAAAATGTCATTGCGGACGAAATGAGCAGCTGTAAAAAATCAAAAGATTTCATAGAATTCTCAAATATGATGGATGAAGCGTGGACAGTGGCTGAAGAACTTCTCGGCTCGGAGATCACAAAATGCAGGAATCCAGTAGCTGAAAAGAAGAACCAGTTTACATTTCTTGCTTTAGTGGACGAGACAAGACCGGCGGTTAAGAATGATGAGCTTGATAAGTACATTAAAGCTGAAACTGCATTGCAGGACGCATTTTTGCATTGCGCTTTGGTTCCAGTTGAGAATATGGCAGGAACAAATGTTGTTGATGGGAATGGGCAGGAGAAAGACTAAAATGTTGTTCATTAATTTGACTTTTATTGACAAATTTAAATAAATTTAAATTTAAATTTACAAATCATCAAGGCATTGCATCCAGCCTAGCTATGATACAGTCGAAAATCTTATCAACTAGCTGAACAAACATTTCAGGCAGCTTCTCCACTTCAGAATTAACCAAGACACTGTTATTAACATTAGCTAATATTGACATTTTGTATAGAATGTTCTTGACCTTCGGCACATCCAGCACTCCACATGTAATTATTTTCAGATCACTTCCGTCGATTGTTCTTGCAATTCCATCTTCAAGATGTGAATCCTTTTCCTTAATTTCTTCATCACATGCTTGAATTTGAGCTTCGGTCAATGAGTTCACATCAAAGTCACTGACCAGCCTTGATTCTGGATTGTTGTGCTTGTAATTAAGCTTCACACACTGCAAGTCTTTAGCGCTCATCTTGAAATTCCCTTTTGGCATATTATCCTCAATAAAGGCTTTCCAAAACTCACTAGCATCATGTCCTGAACATGCTGTGATTGATTTCGTCACCAAAATCATAATTTCGATGTCTTTAAGTTGCTTATCGCCATTTTCTGATAGTTTGAGCTTCTCCTTGATGCAGTTTAAATTGAGATTTTTGAGGAATTTTTCAAGCTTTGGATTAAATCCAGAACTTTTTGTTGATTCCTTTTCAATTTTTTGGTAAGCTTGATTTAATGACATTTTGCTGGGTTCTTGCTGTGCTTGACATTGTGAGATTGTCAGCAAAGTTAGAAGAATTGCGAAAATTAACTTCATTTTGATGGATGAACTAACGAGTTGTAAGGCAGAAGTAAGACTGATTATCATAAGCTGATTGTTACGTTTGATTTCCTTGACCTTAAGTGACTTTTGATGTTATTATTATTTTGCAAAATTGCTATTATTATTCTGATTATTCTACAGCTAGTCAAGTGTGATTAGCTTGATACTTTGTGTGTTAATCACAAGTAATTTAAGATTATTTCCTGTTAATTCATTAAATAAGGTTCTCAAATCGGACTTTGTAGATGGCAAAAGATCATGTGGAAGGCCAAAGAACTAGCTGTTCATAGAGACAGCGTTGCATTTGGTTATTGAAATTGGCAAGCGGTAGCCAGCGATAAAGCAAGTGTAGAAACAAGCACCAGGAACCAGGAACTGATATTGACGCGTATTGCATATGCGGAAAAGTTTGAGCTTTCGGCGGCAACTGAGGGAGGTCAACGACCAGCGTACGACCAGCAAAGTTAGTAAGTTTCTCTTGTTAATGCAAAATAACTAGGGATATAGTTTTATAGTCAATAAGTGGTGTCAAGAAAATTCATATTAAGGCAGATCTGAAATCATTTTAGAGGCTAATCTTCATGAGCCTTAGCTAATCTTCGTGAGTCTTAGCTAATCTTCAAGAGTCTTAGCTAATCTTCATGAGCCTCAGCTAATCTTCGCAAGTCTTAGCTAATCTTCATGAGCCTTAGTTAATCTTCATAAGTCTTGGCTAATCTTCATGAGCCTTAGCTAATCTTCATGAGCCTCAGCTAATCTTCATGAGTCTTAGCTAATCTTCATGAGTCTTAGCTAATCTTCAAGAGTCTTAGCTAATCTTCATGAGCCTCAGCTAATCTTCATGAGTCTTAGCTAATCTTCATGAGCCTTAGCTAATCTTTAGAGCTTTAGCTAATCTTCATGAGTCTTGGTTAATCTTCATGAGTTTTGGCCAATCTTCATGAGTCTTGGCTAATCTTCATGAGTCTTAGCTAATCTTCATGAGTCGTAGCTAATCTTCGCAAGTCTTAGCTAATCTTCATGAGCCTTAGCTAATCTTTAGAGCTTTAGCTAATCTTCATGAGTCTTGGCTAATCTTCATGAGTCGTAGCTAATCTTCGCGAGTCTTAGCTAATCTTCATGAGTCTTAGCTAATCTTCATGAGCCTCAGCTAATCTTCATGAGCCTCAGCTAATCTTCAAGAGTCTTAGCTAATCTTCAAGAGCCATAAAAGCTACAAAAGACAAAATAATGCAAATTTTCAAAAAAAATTTATTAAAAAAAAATTCAAATATTTATACAAATTGATCCTTCAACTAAGCAGCTTGCTCATTCTACAGTCAAAAACTTCATCAATTTTCTTCAAAACATCCCCAACTAGCTTGTCCATCTCCGTGTTCCTTAATTCATTATCAACTTCATCTATGACAAGCCCAAATGTGCACATGAATTTGTAAATTACGTCTTTATTCAGCCTTCCGCATGTGAAAGTTGTAAAATCTTCGTTTCCAATTTTTCCTAGTTCCTCATCCAGACCTGATTTATCAACTCTTACTCTTTCGTTGCAATTTTCTTTTTCAGTGTCAGTCATTGAATTTTTATTGAAATTCTCAACAAACTTTGACGTCGCGTCTAACGTCTGCAATGTCATTTTTGTGCACATCTTGTCCTCGCCTGTCATTTGAATTTGGTGATTTTTCGAGAATTTATTTAGAATATTTTTCATATTCACACAAAATTTTCAATTTTTGTGAATATATTAATAATTCTGTTTCATCTTGACTTGAACATGCTGTGATGGCTTTTGCTGATAAAAATTGAGCTTCGAGGATTGGAAGTTCTTGCTGACCGATTTGTGGTAATTTTAATTTTTCCTTGATGCAGTCAAAGTTTTGAACTGTTGTGAATTTGAGGACTTCTTGGATTATTGCACTTTGTGGTGAATTTTGTTGGAGTTCTTCGTAGATTTGGTTTAGTGTCTGTTTTTCAGGTAATGTAGGGCTGGAATCAGTTGAACAAGATGACTTAGAAGCCATGAAAGCGATTATTACGAATTTAATCAGAATAAGCTTCATTATTATTGAACTGTAAGTTGAGTATTGTGTAAAAATGATCAGCTATCGAGGAATAATCAACTAGAACTGACTCACTGACTTTAACTGTTTATTAATGCTTGCATTTAAATTATTATTGCATTATCTCGTCAAGCTTTAAATCTTCATACATGTGTTGAGCACAGCTTAGCTGACGCGTCAAGTTTTAAACTTTCAAGCAAGTGCTGAGCAAAGCTTTGTCTATAGCTGGCTCGCTGGTTGGCTATTGGCTCGGAACTGGAAGTACTCAGACACTTCTACTGGACTGTTTATCCACCTGGATCAAGCTATCAAAATCCGGACATGACTTAAATGCTGTTTTTTAACGCATTTTTGAAACTTGTTTCGAAAAGGTAGCTTAATATATCACTTTGTCTGTTTGTTTGTTCGGGCAGAGAAAAACTTTTTAACTAGACATCGTAGAGAGTTCTAGTTTATTTTATTAGCTCAGGTCCATTGTTTTATTTTCGGGAAACGCATTTAAAAGTCTTGAAACAGTGTTTTTGTACTATAATTAATGATCTGTAAATGAACGCAAAATAAATAGATAATCAAATACTGATCGCTAACACAAAAATGCGCTTAAGACCCTCGATCAATAACACGAGGACTTTTGTAATTTGTTTTTACTTTGCGAGGAAAATGCGTTAGTTCGTCCGTTCACATCTGTAAAGACGTAGACACCTGGCCTAGAAGCGAAGGGGAAGTTGACATTTTTTTGACACGTCTTTAGATTCAGAAATAGTAAGTTTTGAAGCGACAAAGAAAATTGAGAAAATTATTCCAGGGGAATTGGAGGGTATTAAACCCCTCCCCTCCCCCCCTCTAAATACTGAAAAAAAAAATTATTAAAACACAAACAATTTTGAATTTTATTTCATCCAAAATTATAATTTTGAGGATCTCTAAATCTTAAGAAATTTGAATAAACATTATTTGATTCTTGCATTTTAGCGAAATTTTCATTAAAATTGTTATTGAAGTCGGCAAACCAGTTAATGAATGGTTGAATTATTTGATTATTCACACAGTGATCTGAAATGCCCAAAGTTGATGGTCGCCCAAGATTTGATATTAATTGTTGACCAATATTGACTAGACAACTTCCATTTACATTGAATTGTTGATGGACTTGATAGAAGACACGCGATATGGTGCATTGGATTGCTGCATTGAGTTTAGCATGCAAACATGTTGAAAGCTTGTAAATTTGGAATTTTTGGTCTTGCTGATTCGTTAATGTTATGATACTTAGTAGAAATATTTTAAAATCTTGACTTGTAAAGGCACCGCATGTAAGATAATCAAAGCTACCAAATTTATTTTCCATATAAATCATATGTTCCTTTAGACCTTCATCATCAACATGATGTAAACAACTTTGTTTGAACTCAGCTAATTTTTGGACATTCTGGTTAACAGACTTCATTAATTCATATTGAAAGCACACGATTTGGTCGAAATTATAACTTTTCTTGTAAGAATCAACAAAAGTTGCAAGCATCTCCATCCAAACATGACAAACATTTCCATGCGTACAGCCTAATGCAGCTCCATAAATAATAATCATTGCTTCAATAAAATTCAATGTTTGATTCCCAAATTTGTTTAAATTTCCAATTATTTGATTAACACATTCAGCATTTGTTTCAAATTTAAAAGCATTTGTTGAGTGATTTGAATTAATTTCATTGTACCACTGAATTAAAGTTTGTCTTTTATTATTGAGTCCTGACGCGGATAACAAAAATGTAAAAATAATTAAGAGAATTAATTTCATGGCTGTCTTTAAACTTGCACTGAGTGACTATGATGTTTGAAGCTTGATTTGAGATTTAATAGCTTATGAAATACTCTCAATTTGTTCTTTGCTCTGCTCTAAAATTGAGATTGTATTATGATTTTTTATATACATAGACTGATAATGAGGAGTGACATTTGGGAAATTCCTAGGTTAATGTTTACATTGAAAGTATCATGTTGGTAGAAAAGATTTATAGACAATTGGCATGATTCTGAATAAACACAGATTTTGGAGGATATTCATCTGACTTTCTTCTAGTAATTCAAATTCTTTATTTAAAAAAACAATTTAAAGTTGGTTGACAAAGGTAAGAAATTGATTTAAACTGTTTAAAAATGATTCAAAATGATTCAAAACGATTCAAAACGATTCAAAAATGATTCAAAATGATTCAAAATGATTCAAAACGATTCAAAATGGTTTAAAATTGTTTAAAATGATTCAAAATGATTCAAAATAATTCAAAATTGTTCAAAATTATCCAAAATATTTTAAAATGATTAAAATTTTTTTAAAAATGATTCAAGATTATTTAAAATGATTCGAAATAATTCAAACGATTCAAAATGATTCAAAATTGTTCAAAATAATTCAAAACAATTCAAAATGATGTAAAATGATTCATAATTGTTCAAAATTGACCGAAAATGTTCAAAATTTGATTAAAAATGATTCAAAATTTTTTAAAAATGTTCAAAATAATTCAAATTGATTCAAAATGATTCAAAATGATTCAAAATGATTCAAAATGATTCAAAATGATTCAAATTGATTCAAAATGATTCAAAATGATTCAAAATTGTTTAAAATGATTCAAAATGATACAAAATGACTCAAAATGATTCAAAATGATTCAAAATGATTCTAAATGATTCAAAATGATTCAAAATAATTTACAATTGTTCAAAATGATTTAAATAAATTCAAAATGATTCAAAATGATTCAAAATGATTCAAAATTGTTCAAAATTGATCAAAAATTATTCAAAATGATTCAAAATTGTTCAAAAATGATCAAAATTGACCAAAAAAGATTCAAAAATGATTCAAAATGATTCAAAATTGTTCAAAATTGACCAAAAATGTTCAAAATTTGATTAAAAATGATTCAAAATTTTTTAAAAATGTTCAAAATAATTCAAGAATTTTGAAAACTGTTCAAAAATATTCAAAAATGATCAAAAATGATTTAAAATGATTCAAAATTGTTCAAAATAATTTAAAAATGTTCAAAACTGCTCAAAATTAATGCATTCCAGTCCACTTAACCTCCAACCGAATTATGGTAAAAGATGTGAGGTATCTGCAAACTGCTGTAGCTAGTTCCAGTAGGATGTCATGTATCATCATTTCCCAAACTGTTCATAATATGATTGAATGCAGTATCCAAAATATTCTTAAATTCTTCAATTAAGTAAATTATTTCCCTGCTTCTATTCAGGTCAGTCTCATCGGCAAGCACAACGAAAGTTATTAAAAATCTTTTGAATTTGTCTTTGCTAAGAGCTCCGTCGGTTATTTCTATAAGATTCCCGTATGTGTTCTCAAAATTGTTGACATAATCATCAAATCCTCTCGATTCTACAATCTTATCACAATCTTCACTCCTCATTGTCATCCTAAATGCATCAAAGCCAGCCACAAGAGGTGATTCTGGATTAATTTTTTTCAATTCCTTCCTAAAACATTCCAAATAATTTACATCAATCGTTCTTTTGTTGAATTCGATGAGATTTTCAATCAAAAAAGTCCAAAAATTATTTCGTCTCGAAATGTCAAGGTCGTCCAGCCCTGATCGATAAATAAGAATCATTGCTTGTGTAAAATTCAAATTTTTATTTTTATTTTGAGCAAAATTAATTTTCTGTTTTATATTCCAATGATTAAATCCACGACTGTATTGAAATAATGGATGACCCCATTTTATAGTCTTCATCTTGTCAGTTACATCTTGGTACCATTGCTCTAAAGTTTTAGTTTCAGCAGCGATTGAAGAAGTTGTGATGACAAAAAGTGAAATTAAAAGGATTCTTAACTTCATAGCTGAGTTGAGTCTGTCACTTTACACTTTTATAATTATATAGACACTGAATTGATAACAGAATAAGCAGCTAATAAGTGCATCATCTGAGATGAATGAAGAGCTAATTGAAGGACTAAAGGAAAGATGACTCTAAAGATAAGTAAAGCTTCGTTAGTTTGCCTTGACTATTCCCGAATGCCACAAGTCGGTTAATCTAATAGAAACCCGGCATCAACACAGCTTGACTCTAAAATGGTGTTGGATTCGATTCACGCTAGCTTAGTGCCAAATTTCTATTCAATTATATGAATTGTAATGTTTGGGATTGTTTGTGAATCGTAATAATAATAATGTGCTTGGATTACAGCTAAGCAATATGCGCAGAAGCGTAGCTAGGAATTTGAAGAGGGGGAGGGGGGGAGGGGAGCAACATAAATTTTATATGAAAAATTTCAAAGGTAAAAGGGGGGTTTTTTATGATTTTTTCAAAAAAATCCTAGCAAAATGAAGAAATTTCGCTTAACGGCAGGGGATTTGCCCCTTAAATCCCCCCCCCCCCCAATGGTTACGTGCCTGTTGAGGTGCCTCGAGTAGTCCTTGAGACTGGGGTCAGAATAGCCAGAGAGGGAGGGGGGGGGGGGGGGATTAGAGGGGCAAATCCCCTGACGTTAACCGAAATTTCTTCATTTTGCTAGGAGTTTTATGAAAAGATCATAAAAATCCCCCCCCCCCCGTTTTTTCTGAATTTTCCACATTAAATTTTTTGTCCCCCCTCTTCAAATTCTTGGCTACGCCCCTGCACCTCAAAGTAGTCTCTTATCCCATATTGTAGGACATCGAAATTAATATCTGAAAAAGAGTGCCTGGAAAGATCTAGAAACCGAGCCTTGATCGATGATCTATTGCCAGGGGGGAAACAACTTGTTGAAAAAAAATTCCACTTTAATAGAAAATTGATGCAAAATTTCCACTTTAATAGAAAATTGATGGAAAATTTCCCATCGCGATAGAAAATTTCAATTAGTTTTCCATCTAAACCTTTTTTTCCAATCAAGTAGTTTTCCCCCTCGTCTTTTGTGGATCATAGCAAAATCCAAAAATGGTTCCATATTAATTATATTTTGTACTTATTAAAAAGTATTACTTCGATGCCTTGTTTTAAAAAATAAACATTGACTTTGTTTTGAATTTCATTGCAATGTTCGAGGTTTTTTGCTCCTCTCAATTAAATGATTCTCTTTAATAAATTGAGATTGTTATAAATGAGTTTTATATTCACAGATAATAAAGTTGCCGGTTGTTTACTTTTTAAATTAAATTGGAAATTCCCCGGCTTATTGATAAAGATGTTCATGATGAAACTCAAATGGGTCGTTCAATTATGACGTCAAAGGGGGCGAGAGGTAGAGTCTAGGATTTTATGACAGCTCAAACAAAGGATTTTTTTTCATATAAATTTTGTTTAAATAAAGGGGGGGGGGTGGGTCCAATCGAAATCATGTTTTTTGAGGGACATCATAAGTGAATGACCCCCAGATGTAGCTAAAGCATAATTTCTTCGACATGGTGTAATGTAAATCAACAGATGAAACACAATCTGGTTTAAAGAACGCAAGCCACAGTCAAGTTTTAAGAAATCGTCATAGTTGCACAAACTGTGTGCCGTGGCACTCTAAAATGACACGAACTGTATGATTTGTGCGGTAATGGTCATAGACCAGGTGCGTAGCCAGGAGGGTATTGTTCCCCTCTTAAGCATTTTAGGCCGTGCTCTCACTGCGGTTCAAAACGTTTAAGGGGGGGGGGGGGGCTGTTCACTTATAACGTAATGCAATAAAAATTACCCCCTCCCCCTCTCGTAACAAAATTTATTTTATTTTAACCGTAACAAAATCTCAGACCCCCCCCCCCCCTAATATTAAAGTTCTTTTGGATAAGACTGGTGAAGTTCTAGACCCTAGATTCCAGTGTTGCTCAAACTTTTTTATTTTACATTCACATTTTCGCGCCACGCTTGCAACCACAATTAATATTTCTAAGTTCCGCGGAGCATAGTTTGATAAACACTGCCTCAGAATCTAGATTAGGGTTGTTCACGAAAACGACCTTAGCTCTATCAACGAATCAAGCACTCCACAAATCATATCAACACAAATCCTTAATCTTAAAAAAAATTGATAAGGTTGAGTAAATTTATATAAAATAATTAAGTCATTAAAATGTGGGAATTTCCAAATGATGAATTCTTTTTTTATTAAAATTAAGAAATTCAATTTTAAGGTTTCATTTCAATAGAAAATAAACGATTATTTTTAATTATTTGAACCCAATTGCCATTAGCGTGAAGATACTTTCGTCCATAAAATTGATGCACATCGAACCATTTTTGCTGTGCATACCAAAAAACTCTCTCGCCAGTCAATGAATCATCTCGATTTTCTGAACTTTTGTTGTTGTTGGGTCTCTGCTGGGTTGTCTTAGTTGTAGCTACTGTAGATCTCATCCATTGATGTCCACTTGATATCATTCGTGATTTAACACATTTAAAGGCATCGTCCAACATCTTACTTGCCTCTTTTGCCAGTAAATTTGTATTGTAATCTGTGTACTGATCAACTTCTCCGGAAGAAAGCACGACGATCGTTAGCAGAAGCTTCTTTAAACTATTTCCATTCACAGCACCACAAGTCAGTTCATCTAAATTCCCAAACACACTTTCGATGTTCTTTAAATGTTCAGCATAGCCAGAATTATCAACAACATCATCGCAAGCTGCTGCATCAATTTCTAAATTAGCTGAATTAAAATTCCAAAGTGCTGTCGATTTTGGCTGGAATTTTTCTAGTTCCAACATAAAGCAAACCTTATTTTCAGGCATACTAATGCTGTAGTGATCAGCCAACATTTTAATTAGCTGCTTCCATGTAAAATCTTTAGTGCTTAAGCAATTCATTCCAGCGCCATAAATGAGAATATTTGCTTCTGCATAATTTAACACTTTTAGTTTGTAGTTGAAGATGTTTATAGCATCATTGATGCACCATTTCTTGTTGTTGATCTCGTTAAGTTGAAGAGAGAATGGCTTGCCTTGAGCAACCTTTGGATGATTTGCACTTATTTCATTGTACCATTCTTCAAGAGTCAATTTTGTATCGTTGATGGCTGAAGTCGTTGACAAATAAATTAAGATTAAAACTAAGAAAATATTCATCTTCGCTTACAGCCGGCGACAAGTTCAAAACTGTTTTTGGGAGTAAACTGAAGTTTGTAAAATCAATTTTTCATAGGTTTTGAGGAGTTCTCTTTACTGAGAGCAGTCACGAGCGAATTAAAAAGAAATTTCTCAAGTTACAAAAAATATCTTTTACCCATGGAGCCTCATTCACTCATTAAGGAACGCTTTTAAGGGGAGTTAAAAAAAGTAATTTTCTCGCGTTACGTAATAAGTGGTTGGCCCCTAATTAAATGAGTATTGATTGACTTGTTTCGAATTCAAAAGCAATTGGATTTTATTGACTACCACTGATGAAACGATCCTTTAGAACAGTGATGGCCAACCCATGTGTCGCGAAAAAATTTCAACGAAACGTATGCCGTGTGCGGTTTTGGTCATGACTTGCCATTAAGGTCTGCCGTGGCATAAATAAAGTTGGCTACCCAGCGGCGTTACCAGGAGGGTCTGCCCCCCCCCCCCCCTCCCCCAAATTTGTGCTGGGGTGAGGGGGTTCAGGAATTTTGTAACATCCATTTTTTTAATGAGGAAATTATAATTGTTTTGTGTCTTTGATTGGACGTTAAGGGGGGGGGGGGTGTAGAGAACGTAGGTTTTAAAAATTCGGTTTTTGGTTTTTGATGGACGTCATAAGTAAGCGACCCCTTCACTGGATATTTGTGTTTTGTTAAAAAAGAACCTAGTAAAATAGAAGGAGAAATGAGGGAGAAAAGGGGTGGGGGAAGTGGGGGGGGGGATAAAAGTTGCTATCAATCACAATAAAAGATATTAATTTTTCAAAAAAACTTTATTTTCAATGATTTTGTACAAGTTATGGATGAGCTTAGCTGTTCAAAATCCGAAAAAATTATGCTTTACTGATTCATACGTTTTTTGATGCATTTAGCAGCACTGCCTATTCTATACTGTAAATCAGCAGCTATACTTTTCTTTACATAATTTACATAATTGATTCTCTTTTCAAAACCTAAAACAATAATGCTAAGAAGTAATTTTTTTGCTTCAGCTCCATCAAATTCCTGGCATGTTAGGTCAGAGATCTTTCCAAACTCTTGCTCAAGTATGTCAATATGTCTAGAATATCCATCATCATCAACGATAGTTTTACATGTTTCGATGTCATTTGTCATTGAATTTGATTCTAAACCATGCAGAAGATATGAAGTTGGCTCTACTTTTTGAAGTTCCAATTTGAAGCATTCCACATGACTTGGATCATCCAAAGATGTTTTGTAATGATTTGCAAGTTCTCCAACCATCAAACTCCAAATATCTAAACTTTTTTCTTTTTTGCAGCTTATAAGCGCATCAAAGATAATAATCATGGCTTCAGGAAATTTTAATTTTTTATTTCCATCTCTATTCATATTTAAAAAAGTTTGCTTGACGCACCAGTCATTAAAACCTCTCACGTGTTCAAAAAATGGACCTGATTTAACGCTTTTAATAATCTTTTTATCAACTTCTTCATACCAATCAGTTAAAGACTGTTCTTTTGTATTTATAGCTAGTGCGACTGCCGCATAAGCAAATGCAAAGAATATCATCAACTTCATAATCGACTGAAAAGATCAACTTGATGAATGAGTAAATAAATTGAGACTAAAATTGAAGTGTCAATTTGTGACTGAAATTTTTGATTCTCTCTAAAAATGAGTAAATTTTGCTCTGTAAAATAAATTGAGTAAATCTTGAATATTTTAAAGTACTGTGTACTGAGATCGCTGAGAAAATATGATAATTTTCATGTTTGTTCTTTTGTTTGTGCCGTAAAGTATCCATTCCGTTGTTTATTAAGGGCTTGATCACTTATTATCCTATTTGAACCACTTGTTCAAAATCTTCCATCTTCCCGTACAAAACGAACGTAATAAGTGAACAATTCATAAAAGTAAAATTCATTTAATTTAGAATTGGGATTTTTCAAAATTCAAAATGGCGAATTTTTTGAAATTCAAAATGGTGGAGTTTTTCGAAATTTAAAATGGTGAAATTTTTGAAATTTTAAATGGTGTATTTTTTTTGTTTTGTTCAAAATTAACACATCCTGATAAACTAAATCCTATTAGATTTAACTTTATTGTACTTGATGTTCACTGGATTTGAGTGTTTTAGGTAAAGCTAGTTTGAGTATTCATTGGATCATACTTTAATAAATGATGAAAGACAAAATGTTCCATGAATACATTTTTGTAGGATTCGTTTAAGACTCAAATTCTAAAAACTGCTCACTCAGCTGCCGCTACTCATTCTCTCATTTTAATCTTATTATTCGAAAAGTATTATACATAATTGGAAATTCCAAATGTCACATTCTTGATCTTTTCCCCCGGCAAATCCCCCGACGAATTGCTAGGAGTTTTATGAAAAAATCATAACCCCCCCCCCATTCCCTCTGATTTTTTTTTGCCTTCCCCTCTTCAAATTCCTGACTACGCCCCTGACTTTCATAATTTAACTTGTGAAACTTTTAACTTTTAATTTTTTTTTAACTTTTAAACTTAACACGAAGAGAAGAGTTTAAATTTAAAATTAATAATGAACGTCATTTATCAACAACCCCAAACTGGAATATCTCAAAACTCTCATTCACTTCTCTCACCGATCTCAATTGATGCTGAAAAGTATTATTTAACAAGAATGTGCCTTTATTTAAAAAGAAAAATATAAAACAAGCCTGAATGGCACAAGTTAATCGAATAAACATCCAGAACCAATCTGGTGTAGCTCTGCATATAGGGAATGAGGCGGTAGAAGAAGTGGACAAGTTTGTCTACTTGGGCAGTATTATTTCTAAGGACGGCGGTGCTGAAGACGACGTCCGCAAACGCATTAGACTGGCCAATGCAGCTTTTGGATCATTACGACATGTCTGGACCTCCCCCCGACTTTCGAGACGACTGAAGCTGAAGATCTTCAACTCGAACGTCAAGCCTGTACTTCTTTACGCATGCGAGACTTGGAAAGTTACAAAAGCTCTTACACAACGCATCCAAGTTTTCGTCAACAAATGTCTGAGAGCAATATGTGGCATCTACTATCCTCAAACAATAAGGAACACAGAGCTGCATGCAATGACTAAACAACAAATTATTGCAGACGAAGTTGGGAAAAGGAAATGGAACTGGATTGGCCATACATTAAGGAAAGACCATACAGACAACGCGAGACAAGCGATTTTCTGGAATGTCAAAGGAAATAGGACTAGGGGCCGACGGAGAATTACTTGGCGTACAACTGTTGAACGGGAGGCCGAACAACAGAACAAGAAGCTGCAGGAAATAGAAGCTTTGGCCCAGAATCGAGTGCGATTCAAATGCTTTGTGGACGCCCTACGCTTCACAGTGGAGCAATAGGAACCCATCATCATCAAGGCTGTACTGGGGGTTCTTGATTTGAGTTGATTCGATTTGAACAGGATTTTTCTGGAACAAAAACCAACTCAAATTGAGGACCCCCAGTATAACAAACATTTTAAAGCTAATCTGCTGATAACTTTTTAAGTAAACATTTAAGACGTCCATCATTATGACGTCCATTTCAGACCCCTCTTCCCTGTCACAGATTTCAAATAAAACAGAAATAAAATCTTTTTTTGAGCTGTAACAAAATCCAAAAATTACCCCCCCCCCCTCCCTCACCCTCCCTTCACAAAAAAATAATTTTTAATAATTTCTAGTAAATTTATTCTTAACAACATCAATTGCAACATCCAAAAACTTCCTTAACTCTTTAATTACTTCCGCTTTCCTACTAGCTTCTTCCCTCAGCACAACAAGACTTAGTAAAATATTTTTAAATTTATCAGCGTCAAGTTCACCATCCGTTAATGTTCCTAAATCACCATAAACACCTTCCAGTACGCTCAGCTGCAAGTCCACACCAATCATGTCAACAATATCCTCACAACTTTCACTGCTGATCGTCATCGATTGTTCATCAAAGTCATTAACATATTTAGAACTGGAATCGAGTCTCTTTAGTTCCATTTTAAAGCATGACAAATCTTTTGATGCTGTTTCGTAAAAGAAGTTTTCGACAAGTCGATCGGCCAGTAAGCTCCATACTTTATTTTGTTTTGTTGTGTCCAAACATTTCAGACCGGATCCGTAAATAAGAATTGCTGATTCCACAAAGTTTAGTGTTTTTTCTTGATGTCTATTGTATCCTATGTTTTGACTTATGCAGCGAAGATTCAGTTTCCTCGTTGGCTCATAAAAAACGTCATCTGATTTTATATTTTGTATTGTTCTAAGGCTGTCCATGTACCAATCTGTCAAAGTCTTTTCTTCATTATTTATTGCACTTACTGCTGCGGTTAAAAATAACAAAATTAATTTCATGACTGAATAGAACTCTCAACTTATTAATGAAATGAAAAAATGGGAACTAAATGTCGATTGAGATTGGATGTTGACTATTGAGACTCTCTTATTTTAGTGCTCTGAGATAATTATTGACAATTTGACCTTGATTTCTAGGAAAAACAATAATTCATTTCTGTTGACAATCGAGATAAGCATTACGGTGATTTTAAACACATTTTCTTTTGACAAGAAATGACTCCATTTTCCGCATTTTGTTCATCTGTATGTCTGTCTGTACAGCTATCTTCTCATCCAGTTTAAGCTTTTTTGATGCGGTTTTTGGCTTATAATATGTGTTTTGTGTCTGGTAAGAGCTTGCCAAAAAAATCAGAATGATTGGAGCACAAGAATGTTAATTAAATTAAGTTTTTCCAAAATTTCATCTTACGTTTTACGTACGTATTTTTTACGCAGCCCTTAAAGCGTTAATAGTTTTCCATAAGTTCGTTTGACAAATTAAAGAAGGAATTCATACTGAATCAAGATTAAAATTAAATGCTGTTTTGTGTGAGCGACAGCATCTCAATGTTGACTCTCTGAGCAACAAACTCACGTGGCAAGGAGGGTCTTCTCAACTCTAAACGTTCTGAACCGCAGTGAGAGCATGGATTAAGTGGGAGGGGAGAAGACCCTCTTGGCTGAGCTACGAAGGCAGTGTTTTCCAATCTGTGTGCCGCGACACACTCATGGCTTACCCCTCAAGTGTCCCATGGCTCAAAAAAGTTTGAGCAACACTGGATTAAGGCATAGAAATGAAAATACTTTTTAACTTTAAAAATTAAAAAAAATAAATTTATTAAAACAATTTTTTAAATTGAATGATTTTTCTGATCGACCAATTAAACAATATCAAGGTTGTCCTTAATACAGTCAACCATAATAATCACTTTTTGTTTAACTTCGTCAGCAATTCTCTTCATCTCGCGATCTACTTCCTTCTGATCCTTTTCATCCACCAAAAGTAGAACATTTATAGCCAATTCCAATGCTATCTTATTATTGACAGATCCACAAGTCAATTCCGAGAATCCACCCGACATTAAGTCAAAATATCTAACAAGACCTTTAAGTTGCTGATCTTGATTAACTTTTTTGCACATGTCCACATCTGCCTGCGTTATATTCGCATCAAAGTTCCTCAAAAGACGTGAGTTTGGTTGAAATTTGCTAAACTGCCATTGAAGGCACTCGATATGATCAATACGAATAGATTCTTGACTCTTGGCGAACGTGTACAGCTTATCGGCTGCATTTTTCCAGAATGTCACTTGATCGCTCATGCACATGGCACCAGCACCGATGAATAAATATGTTGATGTCACTTGCTCGATTGTCTTGTTCTGGTTCTCCTTTAAGTTGATTTTATTTGTGATGCAATAAAGCTTGTCTTTGATTTCTGCAACTTCAGCTTTTGACAGAATTACTTCTGGAATTTCATCGAGTTCCTTAACAAATTGTTGAAAAAGATCTCCAAATATTCCTTGCTCTAATACACTATCAGCTGCGACTGGTGACAAGACAGCAAGAATGCACGGTAAAATTATTAACAGCTTCATGATTTCTACTCGATGACTGACTTAACAATGAAATTGAATGACTTGGCGATGATATTTTATATTCTAAGATTTTGTCTTACTTGGCGTTTATTTATGATGTGAATGATCAGCCTTGAAGGTCTATTTTTCCTGATTATGAAATTCAGTTGCAAGTTTCTACTTTTTATTGAGATTGCCAGTTTATTAAGTATGATAGGGTATGGGATGGGATAGGGTATGGGATGGGATAGGGTATGGGATAGGGTATGGGATAGGGTATGGGATAGGGTATGGGATAGGGTATGGGATAGGGTATGGGATAGGGTATGGGATAGGGTATGGGATAGGGTATGGGATAGGGAGAAGCTAGATAAGAAGCTTACAAAAATATCAGAAATACAGCAAATTTATTTCATATAAATAGGCTTTAAATAATTATCAAGGCTTTTCTTCATACATTCTAGAATATTCATAACTTTCTCTCTAAATACATGTCCTAGACGCTCCAGCTCATAAGTAACTTCTTCATCATCTTCCACAGTCCTTAAAACAATAAGATTCACTGCAAGCTCATATGCTTTTCTAGTGCTAAGTGCTCCGCATGACATTTCATAAAATCTACAATATTTTATCTGAAAACGGTCAATTACGTCCTCAATTTCCTTGATTTCTGGAGCTTTTTCACAAAATTTGATGTCTTCGTCTGTAAGTTCGTATGTGAAATTCCTTAATATTCTTGAACTTGGTTGTATTTTTTTAAACTCCAGCTGCAGACACTCCATGTACTCGATATTGTCGAAACTATTTGCAATTTTGTATAAATTTTCAGCTAAGCTTTTAAAGAACTTTTCTTGATCAGTCAAGCATAAAGCACTGGCACTAAGAATAAGAATTTTCAACTTAATTGGCTCTTGTTTCTTGTCCTTAAGCCCTTCAAAGTTCATTTGATATTGAACGCACGACTCTTTTGCATAAATTTCTGCCAAGTCATCTTTGGTGAAAAACTCTTGGACATCCTTGTCAAAATTCTCGTCATAAAGTTCATGCTGATATGCCAAAGGCCTCAATATTCGGACGATTCTAGCATTGACTAGTGATGATGTGATGATTAAATAGGTTGAGATTATAGATGACTTCATTTTGTAAGCTTTTGATGACTAAATAGGCTGAATTGTGACTGAGTTTTATACGCAGTATTAATAATGTTGGTGCATATAAAATTTGACTTAGTAAGCACTTAGTGCTACATAGTAAAAGAAAGTATTGCATGATTTGAAGACTGATAATGCAGAATAAGGTTAAAAAGTAAATAGAATGTGAAATTCATTGCGTTAATCTGAGGCTGGTTTAATGGAATAAAGCTACATCGATGAAACAGCAAATAAGCCAGGCATGAGAATAAGATTAAAGAAAACATCAAACTATTGTCACTTGATTATAGTGACTAAAACTCTTTTATTTGAATTTTTGACTACAATTTCTTCATCCAATTAAAACCAATTTCTATGGAACTAACCAAACTGCAGCTGGCGTGGTTACTTTTATCATTTTGCTTCATTTCCAAATCTATCGACATCGTCAAATCCATTCAAATTGTGATCATTTTCGTCATACACAGACGAGTCACCACCGTCTTCATCACTTCGATATCGTGAAACTCCCAAGATCATCGATGCAAAAAATGTCAGAATTATGAGAATTTGAAAGATGATCAGCTTCATATTATGGCTTAACAATTAATGAAAGATTGATGCAACTTGAATAAAGTTTGAAATTGAACTGAACAGATTTTAAAGGAAATGTAATCAGTGGATTAAGGAAGGCTATCAGTTACCTTCATTAATTGTTTTGATTAATCATGTCAAGCATGTGTAGTGTTGTTTTCATAATAACTGACTGATGTCAGTAGTGATACACTATTGAGGTGATTATTGGTCATCATCGGATGATCTTGATGAAAAAGGAATGGATTTTAAAGCTTTTATTGCAATTATTTGCTAACCCCTTATCTGATTTTTTGAAGTTAGAATCTGGACTTTGATATTAGAATCTTGATTATGAGGTTAGAATCTGAATTTTAAGGTAAGAATCTGAATTTTGAGGTTATAATCTGGGTTTTGAGGTTATAATCTGGATTTTGAGGTTATAATCTGGGTTTTAAGGTTAGAATCTTGATTATGAGGTTAGAATCAGAATTTTAAGGTTAGAATCTGAATTTTAAGGTTAGAATGTGAATTTTGAGGTTATAATCTGGGTTTTGAAGTTAGAATCTGAATTTTGAGGTTAGAATCTGAATTTTGAGGTAAGAATCTGAATTTTGAGGTTCTAATTTTGATTTTGAGGTTAGAATCTGAATTTTAAGGTTAGAATCTGAATTTTGAGGTTCTAATTTTGATTTTGAGGTTATAATCTAGATTTTGAAGTTATAATCTGGGTTTTGAGGTTAGAATCTTGATTATGAGGTTAGAATCAGAATTTTAAGGTTAGAATCTGAATTTTAAGGTTAGGATGTGAATTTTGAGGTTATAATCTGGGTTTTAAAGTTAGAATCTGAATTTTGAGGTTAGAATCTGAATTTTGAGGTAAGAATCTGAATTTTGAGGTTCTAATTTTGATTTTGAGGTTAGAATCTGGGTTTTGAGGTTATAATCTAGATATTGAAGTTATAATCTGGATTTTGAAGTTAGAATCTTGATTATGAGGTTAGAATCAAAATTTTTAGGTTTGAATCTGAATTTTGAGATTATAATCTGGGTTTTGAGGTTATAATCTATATTATTAGGTTAGAATCTGAATTTTAAGGTTAGAATCTGAATTTTGAGGTTAGAATCTGAATTTTGAGGTTAGAATCTGAATTTTGAGGTTAAAATCTGAATTTTGAGGTTCTAATTTTGATTTTGAGGTAAGAATCTGGATTTTGAGGTTAGAATCTAGATTTTGAGATTAAAATCTAGAGTTCGAGGTTGGAATATGAATTTTGAGGTTAAAATCTGGGTTTTAAGGTTAGAATCTAAGTTTATAAGGTATGAAATTACTTCTTGAAAAGAATAATTTCCAAGGGGGAACGATATTATTCCCAACTACCCCCTGGACCCTTGCCTGTTGACATTCTGATTAAAGGAAAAAAGAAAAGAAAACAATGAACCTAATAAAAATAATGACAAAAATAATATTTATTAAGATTAAAAATCTTTAATTTAAACAAACCGCATTAATTATCAAATTGCTCATTCAAGCTTCATCACCGCATCAACTAAGGTCGTAAAAAATTAAAATGAAGCTGATAATGATTAAAATATTTGTGATATTTGCTGTAATCTCAACAATCCTAGCAGCTCCGCACAGCCACTCATCGAACTCAAATGAAACTGACTCTCACTCAAGTGAGGAGGATCTATTCACACCGACAACCAAAAAGCCACTCAAAAAATGGTTTAAGGAACTGAACAAGTACATTAAAGCGGCCCCAACGCGAAGTCAAATCTCAAAATTAACCAGAAATGTCGATCACAATTGCGTCAAACAGAAACTTAACATGACTGAGAATGGCCAAAAAAATATCAATTTTGCTCAAGCTGTCGTGACTGTTGGAATTGCGTACCTTAAGTGCTTTGATAAGTCTGAAAATGCAGCAATCGGCAAAGCTATTATCGACTTCCTGGAACTCTACAAAAGTACAAATTTTAACAAGTACGGCGACTGTTACTTAAATGAATTGAAAAAGTTGGAACCGACTTCACTGCTTGTCGAGAACTTTGAAGCTGAAGACATGGAACTGACTAAGGAGCAATGCTACAAGCATTTAGGTGAGAATGAATATGAAGCATCGATGAAGAACCTGGAAATATATTCGGGAGATTTAGCAACATTTTCATGCGGAAACTTCAAAAGTGACGATTTTAAACTTTTTGGAATGAAACTTGTCATCTTAAGTCACGAGGAGGATGAGGAACTGAAGGAATCAGAAATTAACAATTTGAAGGAAGCTGTTGGAACTAAAGTGAATAAGATTTTTGATTGTGTCATGGAAAATATGTAAAATTTGATGAATAAAGTGAAATTTTAGGTTAAATTGAATTTTAAATTGTAATCTTTAGTCTGTCAGGGCTGCCTGAATAGGCATGCAGACAGTAAAGTGCATTTATAAAAGACAAACAAGGCTTGATGTCTATTAAAAATGCTCAGCAGTGTTTCTCAAACTTTTTGGGTCCTAAACACATTATATGTTTTGAACACACCTGATCAGTCACACCTTAATGTGCCGCGACACACAGTTTGAGAACCACTGCTGTAGAAAGTAAGTAAAACTCTTTAAACCTTTTCTTGACAATGTTTTGAACAAACCTGAACTGTCTCATCTTAATGTGCCGCGACACACAGTTTGAGAACCACTGCTGTAGAAATTAAATAAAACTCTTTAAACCCTTTCTTGACAATGTTTTGAACACACCTGAACTGTCTCATCTTAATGTGCCGCGACACGCAGTTTGAGAACCACTGCTCTAGAAAGTAAAAAACTCTTTAAAACCTTTCTTGAAAATGTTAGGCAAGTCCTGCAAGTCAGGCAATATCAATAGAAGCTTATAATTAGACTTAATTATCACCAAGGATGTCTCAATGATCTCAATTCACTCAATCTTGTTTAATTCTTATTTAAAATCACACAGCAAAGCTATAAAATAAATCAGTTGACTCAATTCTTCTTGACAAGCACACAACTTTGATAACTGCAGTGAAATAAAAAATGTCAAAAATAATTTTAATCGCAATTTTCGTCATCAACATTTTAAGGTCATCGGCATCGCCTATAAAATCTCAAAAAACGTTCACAATTCGTGAGAAATATGAGGAAATTGTTGATAGATTCATAAATGACAATGCCACTGCCAGTGCATTTTTCCGACTCAAAGACAAAGACTGCTTGGAACAGCTATTGAAGCTTAAAACTCTAAACACAGAAATAACAAAAAAGTTCTGGAAATTCGACATCGAAGCTATTTTAGAAGGTGCGGCAGCAAGTTGTAATGAAGATGCTGTAAAGGAATCATTTAAGAACATGATGATGATAGTTGAGCCATTTGGTGAACGGTACCTTAACCCAAATGTCAATTGCTTTAAGAATGAGCTGTACAAATTGGAACCAACGGCAACAATACTGGATGGATTCACACCAAGTCAAGAATTAGAAAATTCAGAAGTCTGCAAAGAAAAGGTTGGATTATTAAGCTCTCTAATTGAGAAATCAATCAAGGCATTAAGAAAGTCTACCGAGTATCCACAATGCTTATCAGCTGCAGATTCTTTCAACATTAAAGTTCTGAAATTAAAGCTTCACATTATTAAAGGTGATGACATAACCGATCAAAAAGTAAAAGAAGAAACTCTTAAGGTTGCTAAATATTCTATTTATGGAACTAAGTCAACATTCGAGTGCATTATGGATGAGGTCAGCAAATCTGTGTAGAAGGTTTTGTGGTAGTGAGGTTGTCAAGTGATGTGGATAGCTTTGGAAATAACTGTTAAAATAAATTAAAGTAAACAAAAATGTGATTAAAATCTTTTTAAATTTTTCGAAAAAGAATTTTTTTACTTTCGAAAAAGAATTTTTTATTTTCGAAAATAATTTTTTCACTTTCGAAAATGAATTTTTTTACTTTCGAAAATGAATTTTTTAATTTCGAAAATAATTTTTTTTACTTTCGAAAATGAATTTTTCACTTTCGAAAATGAATTTTTTAATTTCGAAAATAATTTTTTTTACTTTCGAAGATGAATTTTTCACTCTCGAAAATGAATATTTTTACTTTCGAAAATAAATTTTTCACTCTCGAAAATGAATTATATACTTCCAAAAATAATTTTTTTGAATTTCGACGCTCGAAAATGAATATTTTCACTTTCGAAAATAAATTTTTCACTTTCGAAATTAAAGTTTTCACTTTCGAGATTAAAATTTTAACTTTCGAAAACAAATTTTCACTTTTGAAATTAAATTTTTCACTTTTGAAAATAAATTTTCACTTTCGAAATCAAAAATTTTCACTTTCGAAAATAAATTTTGACTTTCACGTGAACAAGATGTTGACTAAAATTTGATAATTGGAAATTCCTGAATAAATATAATTAAAATAGTTTCAATCTACAAAGCTTATAATGCACAACTTTAAACTTTATTTTCCCAACTTATTCATAATGCATTCAAACTGACTTAATCCAATATTCTTTTGGAAGTTGACAATGTCTTTCCGTCCTGCCTGAATGTTCTCATCTCCAACAGTCTTCGATATGATTACTAACATCGTACAATGAATGACTTTATAAGTATTATAATCAACTTCTAAGCATTGCCTATATTCATTCAATCCTTGGACGCCATTTTGTATTGCCATTTGCCACTCGAAGTCTTCTTCAACCATTTCGAGGTTCTTCTTACAAAAATCTTGTTTATCTGCGACTGTTGCTGGATCGAATCCTTGGATAAGTTTCAAATTTGGTTGCAGCCTATAAATCTCATTTTTAAGGCAATCAAAGTCGATGTTTTCATTGACTTTCCATTTTTTCTCGGAATTTTCAATAAAGTTCTTTAAAATTATTTGTTCGATGTTAGGTTGACAGCTGATTCCAGCTCCTTTAAGGATTAATTCCAAGTCGCCAAGTTTGAGTTTTTGTTGAATTTCATTTTCAGGCTTCTTAAGTTTTAGTTTCTCTTTGAGGCAGTCTTCATCCTCAGTTCTAATGAAATAATCGCTGGCCTCATCGTCGTTAATCATTTTATTGTAGAACTCACGGATCGTCATTTCGTCAGGTTCCTCTACTGACATTTGTAAAGTTTTAAGGATGAAGATGAAGATTAACATTAATTGAAGCATTTTGTTAGCTTGATGTCTGTTGGACTTGCTTATAATGACTGAATATAGGAGACGACTAGCATTGCTCTTTTATAACTGATGAGATGTTTACTTACTTACTTTGATGGTCTTATAGAGCATCCTTAAGCGTCAGCAGCTGGCTCAAGGTTAATCAAGGGCTGGCTTTATAGGCTTCTCGCTGGCACTCTATACTTAGATTGTGATAAAGGAAGGTTTAAAAGATGTAACGTTTCGGAAAGGAGGGCAAGGGGGAAAGGGGGAAAGGGGGAAAGGGGGAAAGGGGGAAAGGGGGAAAGGGGGAAAGGGGGAAAGGGGGGAAGAGGGAAAGGGGGGAAGGGGGGAAGGGGAGAAGGGAGGAAATCGGGGAGGTTGGGGGTTTTGCTTGGATTTAAAAAAAGTTCATAAAAACTCCCCCAAAAAAAAAATGAAAAAAAAATTATTGATGCCCCCTGATGCTGCTGATAATTCACGGTTTTGATCAGTTCCTCTCCCCCACATTGATATTGTTGATCTCCAAGGAAATGACAATGATCTCATACCGTCTCATAATGACAATAAGTACCGAATCACATTTAGTTGCATCAGTTAAACTTTACTGAAGCACATCATTGATAATTGCAGTGAATAAAATGTCAAAAATAATTTTAACCTCTTCTCATCCCTCTGCTCCCCGTCTACCCATATCCCCTCTCTTACAACTTCAATAACTAGTTTTTAAATCGTTTCAAACTTTATTTACCCAATTCATTCATAATGCATTCAAATTGAGCCTTTCCAGTGCTCTTTTGGAAGTCAACAATATCTTTCCGTCCAGCTTTCATGTTCTCTTCCCCAACAGTCTTCGACAATATGATCAATGTCTTGTAATGAATGATCTTGTGAATATTTTTGTCAACATTTGTGCATTGTCTGAAGTCGTTGTTGCCTTCGATACCAAGTTCTAGTTCATGCAGGGCTGCTAAACCTTCTTCAACTTCCTCGAGATTTTTCTGACAGAATTCTTGTTTGTTCGCGACTGTGGCTGGATCGAAGCCTTCGATGAGTTTTGAATTTGGATCTAGTTTAAAAAGCTCATTCTTTAGGCAATTGAGGTCGATGTCCTCGTCAATGTTAAGCTTTGCTTCTGTGTCGTCATTAAATTCTTTCAAAAGAACTTGATCAATATCACTTCTGCAGCTTATTCCAGCACCTTTGAAAATTATTTCCAAATCACTAAACTTGAGCTTTCGATCAATTTCACTTGCAGGGTTATTGAGCTTTAGCTTCTCTTTTAGACAGTCTTGGTCCTCAATTCTAATAAAATATTCATCCTTGCTGACGCTGTTGATAGTTTTGTCATAAAATTCACGGATTGTATTTCCTCCTGATGCTGATAGTTCCAAGACTTTCAGAAGGAAAACAGTAATGAAAACTTTTTTAAACATTTTTTTTCAGCTCCAAATGTTAAGCTTGTCTTTTTAAATCGATTGGATTAAGAAGACTGAATGCAGAATATCATTTTTGATGCTCTTTTATAGCACTCAAGTTGTTTACTTGACTATAAAGTTGCACAATCAATGACATAATAAACCAACCTCGAAAGACTTTAATCTAGAATTTATTTCTATAATTGGATGTTTATTTGGAACAACATGGAATCTTGAAGGGGGATTTGATGTTTACTAGCTGAAGTATGTTGTGTACTAGATTAGGCTTACTATGTACTAGATTAAGTTAAATATGTACTAGATTAGGTTTACTATGTACTAGATTAGGTTTACTATGTACTAGATTAGGCTTACTAAGTACTAGATTAGGTTTACTATCTACTAGATTAAGTGTACTATGTACTAGATTAAATTTACTTTGTACTCGATTAGGTTTACTATGTACAAGATTTGTTTAAATATGCCCTAGATTAAGTTTACTATGTACTAGATTAGGTTAACTTTGCACTAGATTAGGTTTATTGTGTACAAGATTACATTTACTTTGTACTCGATTAGGTTTACTATGTACTAGATTTGTTTAAATATGCCCTAGATTAAGTTTACTATGTACTAGATTAGGTTAACTTTGTACTAGATTAGATTTATTGTGTACTAGATTGGGTTTACTATGTACTAGATTTTGTTTACTATGTACTAGATTTGGTTTACTATGTACTAGATTTGTTTAAATATGCCCTAAATTAAGTTTACTATGTACTAGATTAGGTTAACTTTGTACTAGATTAGATTTATTGTGTACTAGATTGGGTTTACTATGTACTAGATTAGGTTTACTATGTACTAGATTTGGTTTACTATCTACTAGATTAAGTTTACTTTATATTCAATTAATGACTCGAAACTAAGTCAACTCATTCATGTTTTAGTCAAATCCTTTTAAAAAAAAGAAGATTTGTGAAATATGAAGCAAACAATTGTAGAAAAACAACGATCAAAGTACAATAACTGCAAATAAGAACGCAATTCCTAGTTTATTGATATTCTTTTCACATTATTATTGATTTAATGCTAGTTTATTACAATTGTTCGAGAAACGGGGCAGCTTTTAATATTTTTCTGTCTAAAAGTGTAAATTTTGTTTCAAAAGTTCTTAAAAATGGCCTTACAAAGATCACCGATCATCATTTTAGTATTATTCATTGCCGCAATCACAATAACTAACATAACAACCTCCACAGTACCCCAAACTGACGAAGTCTCCCTGGTTCTCAAAGCAATCTACGTCAAGGTAAATTCACGACCCCTCGCTGACCTCCAAAGAAATCAAAAGATTCTCCGATTCGCTAATCGGAATTGTGTGTTCAACGAACTCAATGCAGTTGACGATGGAGACTTGACACACTTTGACGAGATTAATTGGACGGGTGATAGAACTTTGAAGATTATTGAGGCTGTTTGGTATGCAGCGCCACTTTGTGTCGACTTCTTCGAGGAACAAACTGAAAAATATTTTGAGGAATTGAAAGAATTGCTGAGAGACGAATATTATGTCAAAAAGATTGGATGCTTTAAGTATGGATTGATGGTTCGGAATCCAGCTCTTGGTCATCCCTTGCTAGTTGGATTTGACAAAGAATCGATGATCCATAATATGTCGACAGCATTGGAATGTGAAAATATTTTGAGAGACTTTTTCAATAAATTTTTGAATCCACAACTTGAGGCAGTTAAAATTGAGATGACGACACTTCAGATTCAGAGATGCAACGAGAGTTTCTACACACAAAAAGAAGAGAGGAAACTGAATTTACTGAAAATTGCAATCATATCCAACACGAATGAGAGAGTTCCAACAAAATATTTGAAGATAACGAAAGGAGAGTTTAGAGATGCAATGAAGCAGCAGGGAAGGGTTATGAAGGACTGTATTTTGAAGGATGTAAGGGCGAATAGTAGAAGAAGTTAAAAGATGGTTTTGTATGTTTGGCTGGTTATCTGGTTGGTAATTTGTCATGCTGTAAGGTAATACGATTGTGTGTGTGTGTCTGTCTGGTTTTTAGTTTCTAGCTGTTTAGGCTGATTAAGCATGAAATCCCTTACTCTGAAATCTTGTTTGCGTAAAACTTATTACAACTTACTTGATAAGATAGAAATTCTAACGAAATGTTGACTTATTTACAGATTATCATGCAGGTTAGCAAATGTCAAGTTAACTCATTTACGAATTATCAAAAACTGATTTTTTTTTTATTATTTTGTTCCTCCTTTTACAAGATTTTTAATATAAAATGATAAAATTTAAGAAGATTGCTTCAGTCTTGTTCCATTTGAGTTCCCGTTCACACCTTTAATTTTCAGTTCAGCCATGAAACTCGTTTTGTCAACTTTCTTTTTGGTTTTTGCCATCGTAACTGTGAATTGTGCAAAATATGACGCTGAATTAGCGTCGGTGCTGAAAAAACTAAAAGCTTTTGACTTGGAAACTACAGATCAAGCCGGTCTTGAGGCAATTCCATTGGATGTTTTCATGTGGCTGACTTTTGTTGACTTCGATTGTGTTGAGGAGAAGCTGAATATCCAAAATGTCGATAGGAAGCAAGTTCAAGACATCAATAACTTGTTGGAATTTGAAAAATTAAATATAAACAATAAAAAATTGTTTGTGGCTATCGGAAATGCCGCTAAGACATGCAGCAGGAAGTCAAAAGAGTTTAAAGACGCAGGAATTCATCAAATATTGTCACTTCGTGCATTTACAGCAAAGCTGATCTTCCCAGATGTAAGACTAAATGAGAATCGAGCTGAAGAATGCTTTAAATGGGCACTAAGCAGAATTGAGCCTGAATCACGGCTTGTTGAAGGATTTGATGTCAATTCCATGCAGAACAACATATCAACATGTGAGAAGCACACATCAATTAAGAGCTATAGAGAGAGTTTAGTAAGGCAAATGAATAAATTGGACATTAAGTCATGTGACGTAGACAAATACGAGCAGCCAACTACAGTCGGCTACAACGTCATGAAAATGTTTTTGTTCTCAAAAGTCGCTGATAAAATGCCAGAATATAGAGAGGAACTGAGCGAGTCGGTGATCAAGTTTGAGGCAGATTTGCTTGAAACTCAGATGAATTGCATTTTGAGAGACTTGAGAGAGGATTAGGAGGTGGATAACTGACATGAGGAGCAACAGAACCTTCAATTGCCAACTTTAAGGATATAAAGTTTAATAAAAATTAAAAAAAAATATTCAAAAATTAAAATCAAAAATTTTTTAATGCTGTCATTCAAGTCCAGATTTCACGGTTCAAACGTAAACAGAGAATAAATTGTGACGTCATGAACATTTTTCTCAGTAAGGGATCGTTCACTTATGACGTCCGAAATTAACGGTCATTTTTCAAAAAAGAACAGTGAATTTCCAAGAATTTCTATTGTTCTTTTCTTGCTGACCCCCCCCCCCCCCCTGGACGTGATATGTGAACGCCCCCCCTCCCTTGGACGTCATATATGAACGGCCCCTAAATCTCTCCGTTGTTGATACAAAAAAAACGCGTATGCAAAACACTTCATCACCAATTTATTTTTATGCGCATAGCTAATTGATCGTCGACACAGTTAAGCGAGTGTAACAAAAAACTGAGAAAATTTCACAGATTTTGTAAAATTTGGTTGAATATGTGTGAATGCTGGCAAACAAATCAATAAGTGAGGAATGGGTCAAGGGAGTTGAGTGCCAGGGATTATTAAAACATTTGAAAACAAAATTAGAAACGATGAAAAAAATGTCTGTCAGTTTGTATGTCTGGCTCGCTGTAAGTTTATCTATTTTGTCTGACTGCTTAACTGTCAGTGTGTCGTGCTGTTTAGCGATCTTCTGGAATGTCCAAGGAAATAGGACTAGGGGCCGACGGAGAATTACTTGGCATACAACTGTTGAACGGGAGGCGGAACAACAGAACAAGAAGCTGCAGGAAATAACAGCTTTGGTCTAGAATCGAGTGCGATTCAAATGCTTTGTGAACGCCCTACGCTTCATAGTGGAGCAATAGGAACCCATCATCATCATGTAGTGTTGTCTGGCTGAGAGTCTGTTTAGCTGTCAGGCTTAGAGTCTGTCTCTCAAACTGTTGATTTATCCGCTTGTCGGATTGGTCAAGGATCTGAATATAAGTCAAATAATGTTTTAAAAAAACAAAATAATTTAAAATTTAAAATTTAAATGTGAAAAATTAAAAAATATTTAAACACATGTTGCGCACCCCTTCACATCTCTATCCTCACAGAATTTCCTCTCAAAACTACAAAACAAAAAATTAACAACAACAAAACTCAAAAAGAAAAGAATCTTAAAATTATCTCTTTCAATTTCAAATGAACGCAATCTCTCACTTTAAACTCAGTCAAGCTATTAAGACTTGATCACTGCACACAGTGAGTATTGAGAGAAATTTTTTTTCATTATCTGCTGAAAAAAAAAATTGTGTATTTATGTTTGAAAAAAATCACTTTTAGCCACTTTTCGAGTCAGTTTTAATCAGTTTGCATCGTAAAGAGTCAAAAGTGAGATCAAATTTGAAATAATAGAAATGAAATATTTAAGTTGGATTGTTGTTGTTGTCCTGCTTGCTGGATGTGATCAGATATTTGGGCAAAATCAGACAAAAGTAGTGCAAAATACGAATGGAACTGCCGGTAATGTTGCACTTGAATCCTTTACATTGAACCTTGTTGACATAAATTCAACAGTCAGTTCCTCAGTAGCTCCTTTGATCAACACAAATGTGACTGAGAATCCAACAAATGCTTCAGCAGTCACCACAACATCATTGCCGACCAATGCTTCAGATATTACCACTCCAGTACCCTCAAAATTCACAAACACAACAGACATCCCAACTCCAGCACCATCAAATTCAACATCCAACGACACAACACCGCTAGTTCCTTCACAAAACTCAACAATTCCAGCTAATTCTACAGAAAAAGCATCAATATTTCCACCAGAATACACACCAGCTACAGGTTGGGGTACCTTCTTAATTGCATTCGGGCTTGTCGTGATTGCTGGACTTGTTCTTAGTGCCTTCTACTTCAAGAGTAAGAAACGAGGTTCCAGGAATGAATTTTCACCATTATTGAGTGAACTAGAAAGTGATATGTGATGAATTTGTGACTTATTATCCTCATTTAAGCTAGTTTATTTTTCTATAAAGTGCTTGTGGGGATTGTTCATAAATGATGACTTCATTTTTAAAAGGCGGAAGGGTTAACTTTGGAATGAATTTGGATATTATTGAAACTGGCAATTAGCCAATTGACTATTGTCCTACACTATAAGGATAGAGGGAACTGAGGAGAAGGATGGAAAGGATCGACCAATGGGATTAAGTAAATAAGAAGCTAAGGGGTCAAGAGGAGGAAGGCAAAGTCCAAAAAGTGCAAAGAGAACAGAAAGACAGATTATGTGACCATTGGGAGAATTAACAATGAGAAAGAATGGTGGGAACGAGGGGGACAAAATAACAGATGAATAAGGAAACAGGGGAACTGGAGAAACAGGGACAACAGGGGGAACAGGGAGAAACAGAGGGGAACAGGGGGAACAGGGAGAAACAGAGGGGAACAGGGGAACAGGGAGGAACAGGGGGGAACAGGAAGAACAGGGGGAACAGGGAGGAACAGAGGGGAATAGGGAGGAACAGAGGGAAACAGGAGGAACAGGGGGAACAGGGAGAAACAGAGGGGAACAGGGGGAACAGGGAGAAACAGAGGGGAACAGGGGAACAGTGGAAACAGGGGGAACAGGGAGGAACAGGGGGAACAGGGAAAAACAGGGGGGAACAGGGGAACACGGGGAACAGGGGAACAGGAGGAACAGGGGGAACAGGGGGGAACAGTGGAACATGGGGAACAGGGAGGAACAGGGGGGAACAGGGGGAACAGGGGGAACAGGGAGGAACAGAGGGGAACAGGGAGGAACAGAGGGAAACAGGGGGAACAGGAGAAACAGGGGGAGCAGGAGGGAACAGGGGGAAACAGGAGGGAACAGGGGGAACAAGGGAGAACAGGGGGGAACAGGGGGGAACAGGGGGAACAGGGGGAACAGAAGGTAACAAGGGGGAACATGGGGAACAGGGAGGAACAGGGGGGAACAGGAGAAACAGGGGGTAACAGGGGGAACAGGGAGGAACAGAAAGGAACAGGGAGGAACAGAGGGGAACAGGGGGAACAAGGGGAACAGGAGGAACAGAGGGGAACAGGGAGGAACAGAGGGAAACAGGGGGGAACAGGGGAGCATTTGACGTGGAGCTCAAAGTTGACAAAGTTGGCAGGTCGGGACATCCAATACACGGAAGACAAAAACTACAAAATTCATACGAAAAATCATCAAAAAACATCATTTATGAATGTCCCCCATAACTTGATAAGCAAACAGTTGAATTATTAAGGAATAAATTGATAAATCCTGAAAATAAGTTCTCGTAGCAAATAAGATAAATAATTAAAATTGATAAAAATATTCAACATCCATAACAATAATGCTTGACTGTCCAAAAATCATAAAACCCCTAATCTGCCATGTCATATCCACAAAAAATATGAAATAAAACGAATAATTTTTTGCAAATATTCCTAGTTATTTTTGCGCAGTACACAACGTTATCAGTAAGTTCCTGAGCATTATTGTTGCTTTATTTCATATGTAAAATTACTCAAAACATTCAATTTAGACATGAAAGACCGCATTTGTTGTGTATACAAATGTTTGACATTGTAGGTCAAGTGGATCATCTGATATGATTGAATTTGATGTTTTGATGCATTTGGGAGCTGATAAGGTTGTGTTAAGCTATTGCTATAGAGTCTATTTTGAGATGTTTAACCCGAACAGCATATGATGTAGTTGGTGGCAACAGCTAAGTGGCAGCCACTTTTTGGTAACCACTCGGCTCCCATAAAAACTATGTGCAGCTCGGTAAACTCAAACAACAAAAATTCTAAATTTGCACTAATATTTGACTTTTTTTATTTAGGCAGCCGCATGAGCGCCGTTCTTAAAATGTGTTGCTCGGGATTATAAACTTAGTTTCTCAGAAAAATAATTTAAATTAACATTTAATTTTGGTTATAATAAAAATTATGCAAAAAGCACTGAGCCCGTTTCTCCTCAAACCTCTTAAACAGCCCCAAATGCTTATTCTTCAGTTCCACAAGCTCCTCTTCTGAATAGTTGGTACTTCCCATTATTTTAAAGTGCAGCCGATCTTTAACCTTCTCATCAACCAAATCCTCTCCAATGCAGCTGCTGATCTTCTCTTCATTTAAGTCATCAACGAGATTTTCTCGGATTTCCAGCAAAAATCTTTCAATTTCCACAAAAACAGGTTTGCAGATCTCACCAACATTCTCATTCGATGTCGGTTCCGTATTAATTTGCCTTAATTTCTTCAAATAACAATTCATCTTGTTCTTCTTGACATGTCCTCTATAGAACCGCCGCATATTGTCAAAAAAGTCTGAATAAACTTTATCGAAATTATGTTGACAAAGTCGATTTGTGATGAAAATGGCATTAAATGCTGAACTGTATCGCCTGCTTGTTATCGAGTCATCAAGTGTTAGTGATCCAAAGCTTCTGCACTCTTTGAGGTTCTCAGTTGCATGGATGTTGAGCTTCTGCATGACACAATTGAGGGTTGAAAAGTCACCGGACGAAAAATGATGAAAAAACTCAAAAATATGCTTGCAGGTTAAGTGGTTGCTTCCTGGGACGGTGTTGGTTTCTAGTGAAGTTGATGATGATGTTGATAAAATGAGGATTGTGGATATGAGAAGTGTGTTTGTGAGTTGGGTCATTTTGAGCTGTGCTTACCTAAAATAAATGAAGTTTGGTATCAAAAAGACTGGCTTGACACTATGAAGAGCTTAGCATGACACTTTTATGGACCTAGCCTGACTGAAGGCTGTGAAACTGTTCAACATGATCAAAAATGATCAAATCTTAATTGATCAGTTTCACAGCCTTAGCCAGACCTTCTCAGGAAGCCTCACAAGACCCATCTCGGCTCGAGCTCCCGACCTACCTATCTAAATTTTCCACTCTTCCTGAATATCAATTCACAATCCACCAATTTATATCTTTTATTGCCTTGAAAGTTCCTTTCTCTTTTATTATTTACTAGTTCTAAGCTAATCAGCAATCAAGAGCAATGTGAAGGAAATAATAGAACTCGACTGAATGTCATTGCAATATTATAATAAAACCTTATTAATCCTCATTTAATGAGATCCATTAGGTTTAAAAAAAAATTTTATTGAATAATTGCATCCACGTGTGTTTTTTGAGGTTCTAGAATTTTTATATTGTTGTTTTGAATTTTATCTTTTACTATTTTTTGAAATTTAATTGAGATTGTGCTGTTGTGGTAAGATGGTAAGGTGTTGTTCGCTGGCGCGTAGCCAGGGGGAGGGGGGGGGGGGGGGGTTTGAGGGACAAATTCCAAAACTTAAACAGAAAATTTCTTTATTTTGATAGGGTTTTTATGAAAAAATAAATCACAAAAATCCCCCCACCCCCCCCCCCCCCCCCACTTTTGTAAAAGTTCAAAAATAATAAAATTTTTCTTTTTTTTGAACGACCTTTAAGGCATTCATCAGTGGTGAAAAACCCTTTTTGGGCTACGGCGTATCTTGGTCGTAAGCCATGACCAAAACCACAAACGTGGACTTTTCGTTTTTTTTTCATACTACACTAGTGTGCCGCGGTGAAATGGCATCAGTGGCCTAAATGATAGAGCGTTGGACTTCTGTACCAAAGGTCCTGGGTTCAATCCCAAACCATGTCTAATTTTCGAAGCTCTTTTTCCATTTCACCGTTCTAGTTACGAAGCTCGGTTCGTGTGTTGGGTGTAGTTTTGAGATCTTTGGCATAGAATATGCCTCCTTTGCAAGGTATACAAGGATATACTAGCATCTGGATGACTTCCTTACGACATCTTGCGTACACGAATTATGACTAGGTATATTGCAGGGTACATCAGGTCTTATGACGTACTCGTGTCTTTGCAATGTGTAGAGCTTGAAAGTGGTTCGGATTCCACTATAAACTGTAGGTCTAAAGGGTGTGGTACAATAGATTCTGTTCTAATTTGAGTCGCAGAGCCTCCAGCTAAAAGGCTGGGCCCTTCACACATTATTAGTGTGCCGCGGCACATCGGTTAGCCATAACTGGTATACATGCTCATACAGATTGTGCTTTAGATGAAGATTTTGGAACTTATGAGTCATTAGTCAGCATACTCAGTGCTTCGTCTAGTTTAGACTAAGTTGATGTTTTGTCATATGCACTAGATACCTTTGTTAAGGCCTAGTTCCTATGGTTCACATTTTTTTATGTATCAAAGTGAAGAGCAAAGTCAGTAAAACGCAAGTCACAAGCTTTAGCTCAGTCAAAACAGTGAACATCCTGACCAACATAAACTAACACATACTCAACCTTAGTCAAGCCATATGAACTCCAATTCACATGATAAACGACACAATATTACTTGCAAATTGGGACTTTCCAGCATCGCAAAATAAAATAATTGGGTCAATTATCCATTATCATATTACTTTGTTTACGTTGAATTCTCATAGAGGCTGAATCGCAGAAGAGTTCAGTTGTATTTTATTTATTCTTTGAGTCAGAAGTGCTGAATTGTACAAAAATAAAATCTTAAAAATATTTTAAAAAAAGTATCTAAAAAATTGCAAAAATCCAAAAAATCGAGGACTAAGCTCAAAAATAACTATGAACATCCAAAGCATCATCATCTTACTCGCATCCCTAACAGCACTAACATCAGCAATCCTTCCTGGAATTGACAAGACTCGAGCATTCTCCGATCGCGATCTCGTCATTTTAATCAAACGAAAGTACGAGAACCTCCCAGACTATTACCTTGATGACGACTACTACAAGACAGACATCGAGTTCCTTAGAAGTTCTAGCCAAAACTGTGTTTTTAACAAGCTTAACCTAATTGATGTTGATGATGTGACAATGGATGAGCTGAAGAACTTTGATCCAATAACAGCTATTGGCGATGAGCAGGAAGATGTCAATACTATGGTGATCTATGTCATGTATTCATGCATTGAGGATGCTAATAAATTTATTGACCATGATTTTGCCAACTTTGTTAAGAAGCCACGACATCCAATACCTCAAAACTCTACAGAATGTGCCAAATTTGAACTTACAAAGCTCAACAAGAATAAGCCATTAATCGACAGCTTTCCAAGCCTTAAAAATTTCACTAAAAAGCAGTGTAATAAAATCCTCAAAGACCTTAAAACAGTCAATAAGAGCAATGACGATGATTTTCGTGGATGCTTGAAAATTTATGACAATTCATCGCTGGAATATGAACTAAAGTTTGCGATAATGAATCATGAGATGCCAAATGAGAAGACTTACAATGAGGAGAAGGAGAAATATGGAAGAGAATCGACAATTGTGAATAATGAGTTTGTTGATTGCATGATTAAGAGAATTTTGTAGAGATTTGAAGTGCATTAATGTTGTGTACGGAAATAATTTTGATTGTGACAATTTGTTCAGAGTTGGAACTGTGAGAATTTGAACAGAGTTGGAATTAAATAAAGTTTTTGAATATTTTCTCTTATAAATTTTTATTGAAGGTTTTGTTCTTGTTATAGCTGAGATATGAAAGGTTAGAATCTATTGCCAGATTACTATTAGAATCCAGTAATGGCCAACCCATGTGCCGCGGCACACTAGTGTGACCTTGAGTGCCCTATTGTGCCATGAAATAATTCAGTGTGTGGTTTTAGTCATGGCTCATTATCAGGATGTACCATGGCAAAAAAAGGTTGAACAACACTGGCCTTTGAGTATACTTTAGGACAGTGTTTCTCAAACTTTTCAAGTAGCAACAAAATTAAATGACATTTTTTAAGTTCACCAACATAAAAATTAACAATCCTGTTTCACGGAATTAAGTTTGAGAAACACTGATCTGGAAGTGCCAGGGGCGTCGCCAGAAATTTGAAAAGGGGGGGACAAAAAATTTTTTTGTGTGGAAACACTGATCTGGAAGTGCCAGCGGCGAAGCCAGGAATTTGAAGTGGGGGGGGGGGGGGGACAAAAAATTTTTTGTATGGAAAAATCTAGGGGGGGGGGTTGTGATTTTTTCATAAAAACCCTAGTAAAATAAAGAAATTTCTGTTTACGTTAGGAGATTTGTCCCTCACTCCCCCTCCCCCCCCTGACTATACGCGCATGGGAAGTGCCCTTCACAACACTCTAAAGCAATATTTAAATTTAATACTAGTGTTCACTCAAGGCAACTTTTGAGCGGGGGAAAGGAGGGGAGCTACATTCTAGGAAACCACCGGCGAAGTCAAGATTTGAGAAAAGGCTGAAGAAAACCTGAGTACCCTAGTGGTTATGCTCATGTCTTAAACTACACCAATAGGGTACTCTTAGGCTACCATTTCTAGAATTTACTAAGCAACCGACCTTAGGATAGCTGTTCTTCTCCCCAACCAATGACCTACCCCCCTCTCCCTCCATAATGTACCCCATTCCCTATTCATACACAAAAACTCCTATGTTTTGAACATTAAATTGAATAAACCTCAAACGAGACACGTTTATGATGCTAATTTATCTGATACTTTATGCAAATGATCATGAATGTAGTTTATCTCCATTTATCCACTTGTTATCAGATTGAGCTTCAGTTTATTTTGTGATTTTCATAGTAAAAGATAAGATTTTGACGCGGCCATCAAATATTCTGTGACTTTATTCTTGATTTTGGCATAAAAACTTAAGAATTTTGTTTAAAATAAATTAGTGATTTTAATTACAAAGTCCATTTAGTGAAGTTGAAAAATACCAAAACCCTAACAATTCACTGCCATGCCTACCCCAGCATCCCTCATAACCCTCATTGCCATCACATTATCCCTCATATCCGCAACCAGCACCTTCTCAATCTCAATTAAACAAATCGACAACAGCGGATATCACCAAAAAAGGAACCTCTTAATGCTGGTCAAGAGGAAGTTCCAGCCACTAGCTGATCCATACGTAACTGACGACATTGAAGCTAAATACCTAAGAACTTCCGACTATAAGTGTGTCCTCAAAAAACTGAATCTTATAGACGACCCAAAAATCTCACGAGAGGAATTGAAGCATTTTGATGTCAGGAAGCCATTTGGAAGTTTAGCACAAGACATGAACTTGATTGTTGTTGTTGTCATGCAGTTTTGTATGGACGAGTTTGACGAATATTCGCAGTACACATTTGAGAAAGGAATTGAGTCACCGATCGTTCAGGTTCCTCTAAATGCCACCGAATGTGCGATTAGTGAGCTATTCAAGCTTCACAGACAAAAGCCGCTGTTTGAAGGCAACTTTTGGGGTCTCAGACTGCACACAAAGGATCAATGTGATGCAATTTTGAGGACTTTTTTGAACTTTATTGATGATTTTGACACAAAGCACTACCGAGGCTGCATGAAAGACCACAAAAGTAGAATTGCTGAATATTTGTTGAAATTTAGAATCATGCATAATGATAAGACGAGTGGAAGCATTAAGCAAGCAGTTAGGGATGATTATATGAAGAATAATAATGACAAGGAAGGCGATGCAAAGGTCGTTGACTGCTTAATTGAGAAATATAATTTGTGAAATTTTAAATAAATTTGATAACCTTTAAAAAAATTCAATTAAGGTTCAATAAGTCAATGAATTTTTTCAGTCAATGCATATGCTGGGACAGTCCCATGGCTTGTTAATGGCTTTCAGTTTAAAAAATTGTATAATAGGGAAAATAAAATAAAGAAACTTGGAATTATGAACTTAATAATTAAAAAAAAGAAAATAAAAAATAGAAATTTTTTAAAACTTATCTTTTGTGTTTTTTCGTTCTCATCGTAAACGTTTTGGAATTCCCGTTTTGTTTTGAACAAGGGGGTTGGTGGGGTTATTGAAAATGTTGATTTATAAACTTTATACTTCTTAATTTTTTTTATATTTAACTTTTTATGTTTGAATTTTTTTGACAGATTGAAAAAAATTTTCAAATTTTAATTTTAATGATTTTTGAATTTTTTTATTTTTTTCAAATTCATTTTTTTTTTCAATTTAAATTTATTTATTTTTATTTTTTTTCAATTTTATATTTTTTCAAATTCATTTTTTTTTCAATTTAAATTTATTTATTTTTAGTTTTTTTTTCAATTTTATATTTTTTCAAATTCATTTTTTTTTTTCAATTTAAATTTTTTTATTTTTATTTTTTTTTAATTTTATATTTTTTTCAAACTTATTTTTTTTTTCAATTTAAGTTTTTTTGTTTTTATTTTTTTCAATTTTAAATTTTATTCAATTTCAATATTTTTTTCAATTTTAATTTTTTTATTTTAACTTTATTTAATTTTTGGTGTTTTTTGGTTTTTTTTATATTTTTCTATTTTTATTTATTCTTTCATTTTAAATTATTTTTTGATTTAATTTTTTTTTTACTTTGAATTTTTTCAATTATGTTGTATTGATTTTTGCAACTTCAATTTTACTTAAAAAAAATCAAATTTTTGTTTTAATTATTTTAAAACAATTTGTTTATTTAAAAAGTGAATTTTTGTTTTTTCACATCTTTTTAAACCCCCTCAATGCTATAATCTACATGCACAACTTCCGTCTAGTGAGATTTATATAAATGTGTGATTAATCTACTGAGCACAGAGTCATTTCATTCATTTCTTTCTAAGACTAAAGTAATTATTTTTTAAATTCTCTAGTAAAGTGAAATTTAACTTCAGTTAATTCAAAAAAGTCCACATTTTTCAAAAATAATTAAAATCAATAAAAACTGTTTATCCGGTGCATCTAAATACAAATCACCAAATTCACAATGAAATTCATTATATTATCAATCTTAGTGCTTTTAATAGCTGCTTATGTTAGTGCTGCACCAAATACAAAAACCGGCAGAGACACAGAATTGGATGCGGTTAGTTGGACAGTTTTTTTTTGAACCTTTGAGCTGACATCTTACTGAATTCTAGTCTAGACAAAGGCTCAAGCCTTCCTAGACTCTCTTAAAGCAGTGATGTTCAACCTTGGTGTCACGGCACACTAGTGTTCGAGAAATCCCACGAACCGTGTGCTGTGTGCGGTTTCTATCATAACATTACCAATAATGAGTGCCGTGACACAAAAAAGGTTGTCCACCACTGTCTTTAAATATCCCAATCCATCCACTTTCCACACATGAACCCCAAAATGCTTACAAAGATTAATTCTCAAATTCTAGTCCGGAGAGCAAGAGTTTAAAGCGCTTTACGATGAAGTCATCGAACAAGCAGATAAAGCACCAACATCAAGGAACTGGATAGACACATTTAAGGCACTTTGGCAAGGCCTCAAGAATGAATTTAGTGAGTTGAAGAGATCAACAAAAGGAGCATTTGGAAAGGCAACGCACAACATTTGCAAGCTTATGTACAAAAATAATTTAAGTTTTGACACAGTCGTTAAGTTCTGTGGCGCTAAGGAGAACTATGTTGATGTTATCTTTTATCCTGAATAAAAATTAATTTAATTTGAATTTTTTGTTTTGTTTTGGCGACATTTTAAGTTGTTCGTTAGGCTTATCAGCTGGGATTTCCGCAAATGTTCATTTAATTGCTGATTAAGAGAAGTTCAAAAAGCATGATTAAGATTTTTAATTCATTTCGTCCACAATTTACACTCAACTAAAGAGCAGTGGTGACCAACCTTTGTGACACTAGACCAGTGGTTTATAAAATGCGTGCCGCGGAACACTAGTTTTCAGTGAAAAAATTTAATCACTAAAATTGACCATTTTCATTTTTTGTGACTTCATGAAAAGAATTTAGTGTGCTTCAAATCCAAAAAAGTTTGTGAAACACTGCATTAGACTCTTTGGATAATCCACAGTCTTATAGAATAGGCAAATAACTGACCTTTGGGGTGTCTTTTAGAGTATCAAAGATGCAGAATCATTAATAAATTTTCAAAAAAGAGAGGAGATTCTGTCGCATCTATAAAGAGAGCATGAATAAAGAGTTAAATATCATTGAACAATATTCAAATTGATCATTCTATTTACTAAATTCAGTCAATTCACTCTTATTAAATTTATCATCTAAAAATGAAGTTCACAGTTTTGTTAATAACAGCCGTAATAGCTTCCAATTATGCACATTCGATACCTCAAGATCGTGTAAGTATTGATCATTGACAACAGCCGCTCTAAACCCTGTAAACATTGTCTTAATGTTGTGGATTATTCATAGATTAAACGTGACGCACCAATCTCATCAGATTCACAAGAATTCATCGATTATGATCCAAATAAAGACGAAAGTGAGAAGATTAGCGTCTGGAAATCGTTTAAAGGAAGCTTAAATTCAGCATGGATTTCTGTCAATGGATTCTTCTGGAAGTCTAAAGAGCCTAAAGTCGAATCATTCAATGTGGACTATGAAGATGTAACGCCTATAAATTATTCTTTTAAATAAATGACTTATTAGTGAATTTGTAAGGCTGAATTATTTAATTATAATTTTATAATAAAGTTTTTTAAATATTTTTTTAACGGAATAATTGTTGAGAACGAGAAAATTGTGACGTAGAAGCTCCAATTTGTGTTTGAATGTCAACACACGAACTTGCACGAGAGTCAATTTATTATCATCTGAAATGGTCGTGAGAATGAGCATAAAATGTCAACAATTCATTTAAAGTGAGAATTTTGAATTGACTTCGGCATGCTCGCATTAAAATCCTGGTCAGCACCATACCAAGATTATGCCGGCTTGGTGCTGGATTTCTACTCAATTGGTTCATTTCAAGCTTACGAAATAAGTGCAAACAAGCTTCAATCGGTTGGTATTCTGCATTTGCTTCTTCATTTACTGATTAAGAGAAGTTTAAAGAGCAAAATTGAGATTTTTGATTCATTTCGTTCACAATTTACACTCAAATTGGTTGACTTTTCTGTACTTGTGGTATAAAATTAGTCTATGAAGTGCTTTATATTGATCATTGCTGCAATTACTGCAGTCACATTCTCATATCCTTCTTCTGAGGACAGTGTAAGTGTTCACATAAATTGACAAGCTTAACATGATCAAATTTATTCTTTTTCTTTAGTACGAATATGAAGATTTCTCAAATAAGAACTGGATTGATGATTCAAATGACGAAAGCTATTTTCAACAATTCAAAAATTCTAAATTTGTTAACCAATGCGTAAGTAATTCATTCGCTACTCTACGAATGCCTTAATCCATGTTTCTTATTGTAGATTAGGTTCAATTCTACCATTGATCCAAAATCTGCTGTCTTCAAGAATCAACGAACTAACCTAAAAGAGCCAACAGCTGAGCAAAAAGAAAATTGTTGGAATTATCTCAAAAATAAAGGAACCAAAGCAAGAAAGTGGTTCACAAGTTGGTTCTCAACATCACAAGTTAAATCAGATGCGGTTGACGATGAAACTACGGCAGAGGTCAGTGAATCTTGAACATCATGTGAACCTTGTCATGTCATAAAATGTATCAAAAAAAACCTTTAATTTTCAGTATGAAATCCTCACCACGTCACAGCCAAACTCAGATAATGATGATAAGATTTATTTTCCAGACACATTTTCAACACAAAAGCCGACAGGATTAATTGAGAGAATCTTTGGATAATTCTGCATTTTTTAATCTATCAAAACTATGTCGAACCTGAGCGACAAAAAGTTTAAGTTTACGTAGTAGCGACACCATGTTGAATAAACGTGTCCACATCCAGGCTTATAGCTTTTGGCAACTTCAAGGCAACACCAACTCAAAAGGCAGCAATTTGAAGCATTTATTCAACAAGGTGTCGCTATCACAGAGATATAAACTGTTTGTCACTCGGGAATTACTACGCGATTGGCACAGATTGAAATGTTCGCCACCCGGAAGTCGCATTGATGGTAAAACTAGAACACAAGTGGCAATGCCGCTTGGTTCTAATTATATCATTAAACAGGCTGCCGGGTGACAAACATTTCAATGTGTGCCGATCACCTAGAAAGTTAATAAAAAATTACAATTATTTTTTTTTGAATGCTTATTAAATTTCTAGGGATTTCCAGTAAGGAAAAGTAGATGAATCTTATCAGTAAAATATTAAATCTGTATTTAATTTTTTTGTACATTCATTCAGTTCATAATAAGCACAGGACTAAGTTTGACACAAATAATTTATTTTGTCAAAGTTTCTAAAGTTAGTTGATAGAATAAGTAAGGATCAGTTCACAGTCTAATTTAATATGAAGCTACTCATTGTATTAATTTCTTTATTGGTGGCTATTACGTTGTCATATTCAGCTCCACAGCCTAATGTGAGTATTTAATGTTGAATTTAGGCATTCATTTGAAGGCAGACTGAAAAGAAGTGCAGTCAATAAGTAGCGGAGGGGGAGGGGGAGGAGGGGGAGGGGTCTGGAGTTTGAATGGTGTTCCAACTTACCTGGCCTCTCAAGAGCCTGTAAAAATGTTAATTATTTTTTAATATAATTTTTTTTTATCCAGTTTGAAGACTACGCCCGATCTGGTGAGCAAATCAAGTCTTACGACACAGTTGAAAATAATTCAAAACCTGGATTTTGGACAAAGATCAAAAATGGAACTAGAAACTTTTACTACAGATGTGTAAGTGTGAATTCATATTTTTAATTTTATTTTATTTTACTAAGGGACCGTTTGCTTATGACGTCAAACACTCAGCGGAGAGGGATTCTCCTATTTTGTGACTGTTCAAAAATTAGAAATTTTTTCCATCCAAATCTTGTGACTGATCGGGAAGGGAAGCTTAAAAACCTGGTTTTTTGATAAACGTCATTTATGAACAGCTCCTAATCCAAATTTTATAAAATTGCAGGTTAAGTTTAATTCAACGGCTGTTGATCCCCAAAACGATGAAACTGATGATTCCTTAACATTCCTAAATTCGACTGACATTCCAGTCCCTAAAGAAGGTTGTTTAAAATATATTGGAAAAGTAGGAAGAAAGGGAAAAAATTGGATTTTTGGAAAGGTTTCAAATTTTAAAAGCTTTTTATTTGGAAGTAGTCAAGACATTGATAATGATGCTGAAATAGCAACCGAGTCATATTCTTATTGGTCATTAAATGGAACAAAAACTAAAGTTTTTGTGGTAAGTTTTGTTCTTAAATGTCATTTTTAATTAATCAATTGTCTTTTCCTTACAGAAAGTAAATGCAACAACGGAAAATCCATCAGAAGAATACGAAGACAACACTGATTCCGAATTCGAATGAATTTAAAGGCTTGTTTTGTTAAAATTCATCAATTGGATCAATAAAAATATATATTTTAAATAATAAATTTACCTTAAAATCTTTAATTGAGTTCTTAATCATCTTGAATGTCATTTCACCATAATCCATCGACATTAAGTTCGAAGAAAAAAAAATTTCATAAACAAAAAACCTTGTGACGTCAGTTTTTCTGGAATTCCTATTTGTGTATGTCAACACATGCACGAGAATCAATTTATTATCAATTTGAACTCATTATTCTCAGACAGTCGTGAGAGTGAGCCTCAAAAGTCATTCAAAAAGAGTAAATCAAGAAGCTGAGAACAATATTTTAAGACTGAATAAATTTTGCATTAAATCGAAAGTTTAATTTTATTAAAAAAACTGAATTGATACCAAAATATTTTCACATTAAAAAATTAATTTGCAGTTTAAGAATTTCATTAATTTTTTTTTTAAAAAAAAGTCTAGAAGCTTCCAAGAAATTCGATCAACAAAAGAATTAAAAAATCTAAAATGAAGTTGCTTGCGTTGTTAGTAATTGTGCTTGTTGCTGTGACATTGTCATATTCACATCCAAATGTAAGTATTATACTGATGCATCTAATCAGCTAAGGCAGTGATGGTCAACCTGTGTGCCACGACACACTAGTGTAGAGAATCTTACGAAAATCCCTCACCGAGGTTTACCAAGGTGTGCCGTGTCACATGAAAGGTTCTACTCCATTTAGCTAACGTGTCTGTAGGATTGTAGCTAATGAGCTGTTTTGAGGAGGGAGTTGGGGATCAAAATCTCTTGATATGGGAGTTGCTGTTTTGAAAATAGACAAAGCTCTAAAGTTTGTAATGTTTGATTTCTAACGGTTCATTCTTCTAATGAACGTCTTTTGCATATCAGATCCGCTCTCTTCTCCCTCTCTTCCACCTCTATCCCCCCTCTCTTCTCTCTCTTTCCCCTCTTCCCCCCTCTTCCCCCCCTCTTCCCCCTCTCTTCCCCCTCTCTTCCCCCTCTCTTCCCCCTCTCTTCCCCCTCCCTTCCCCCTCTATTCCCCCTCTCTTCCCCCTCTCTTCCCCCTCTCTTCCCCCTCTCTTCCCCCTCTCTTCCCCCTCTCTTCCCCCTCTCTTCCCCCTCTCTTCCCCCTCTCTTCCCCCTCTCTTCCACCTCTATTCCACCTCTCTTCCCCTCTCTACCCCCTCTCTTCCCCCTCTCTTCCCCCTCTCTTCCAGCTCTCTTCCCCTCTCTTCCCCTCTCTTCCCCCTCTCTTCCCCCTTCCCCCTCTCTTCCACCTCTATTCCCCCTCTCTTCCACCTCTCTTCCCCCTCTCTTCCACCTCTATTCCACCTCTCTTCCCCTCTCTACCCCCTCTCTTCCCCCTCTCTTCCCCCTCTCTTCCCCCTCTCTTCCAGCTCTCTTCCCCTCTCTTCCCCTCTCTTCCCCTCTCTTCCCCCTCTCTTCCCCCTTCCCCCTCTCTTCCACCTCTATTCCCCCTCTCTTCCACCTCTATTCCCCCTCTCTTCCCCCTCTCTTCCACCTCTATTCCCCCCATACTACTCCTTGTTGAATCCCCAATCACAGCCATGTCCAACAAACACAAGTAAAATTTGTAACAATTTTTTTTTGTAGGGCGAAATGGACCAAAAGGATGTATCATACCAAGGTGGTGACAATGATCCTGAAACTTCAACAGTCAAGGAAACTCGATGGAATAAAACCAAGAAGTTCTTCAGTAAAACATTCAATAAGGTCAAAAATGTATTTCCCTCAAATGTATGGGTTTGATGGGACGTGACAGGAAGTTTATTCGGGATTTGTTAATTGTTTTAGGGGTTGGAGAGATGGCTGGCTGGTGGTTATAAGTTATGTGTGGCACCTTGAATCAAAGACAGTCATGAGATGTCGGTGCTGGTGTCTGTCGATTTTAGAAAGTCAAAAGGAGTCAATTGCCTTCTCTGCAACCATTAAATAACGAATAAATTCCCTTCTACGTCCATGATCAGCATCTTGACTCTCACATCCAAATTATCTACTTACTATTTAAATATCTTGCCATGTTTCAGCCAAAAAATGACACAACTGAGGCATCAGGACTTGAAGAAATTGGAATAATTGATGAATCAAGTGAGGAGGTTCAGTCATCAACTCCTGAGACTATCGGATTTTGGAAAAGAGTCAAAAATATTTGGTGAAAATTTATAAAAAATTATTTAAAATTAGAATGACGTCATTATAGGCAATACGATCAGTCATTTGTATTGTGAACAAATTTTTTTTTATAGATTAGTGAATAAAAATAAAAAAAAAAACAAATTTTTTCACACATTTGCAAAATGTTGAGGATGTGTGTATGTGTGTGTAATTGGCTTAACTGAGAGTTAGCTTTTAAGTTTTCTGAGAATGAGCAATTTGAACATTAAGATGATCAGTTGCTTATGTCGTGTTAGTAAAGCCATTTGGAAGGAATATTTGATTTTTAACAAATTCTAATAATAAACATGAAGTTCTTGTGTCTATCCTTGTTTGTGGTTCTGCTGTTGGTTTCTTATTCTGAAGCACAGCTGCATGTAAGTTGCCAAATTTAAAGACAAATCTTATTTACAATTGATTGCTTTAATAGGACGAGGACATCCATATGAATCAAGAGCTGTTATCAAATAAGAACAGTGGAATTAAAACTAAACCATTTACAAAAGGCGGTGTCGAGTTTACAACAAGAGCAGATACTGCGGAAATTGAGGATTTAAAAAATGTTGATGAAAACATGTTCATTTCAATTGCAACAACAGAAAAGCCTGGTTTGTGGAAGAGAATTTTTGGATAGACTAGAACAGTGTTGTCCAAACTTTTTGAGCCATGGCACATCTTGATGGTAAAGCCTAATCGAAACCGCACAAGGCGAGCTATTTGCTGTTTTCTCAAAAAACATCTTTGGCACACTAGTGTGCCGTGACACACAGTTTGGACAACATTGGACTAGAAAATATTAATTAAGATTATTCAATTTTATTGAAATGTCAAAATAAAACTTTTATAAAATAGTAAAATATTAAAATAAAAATATTTCATTTCAACTCTTTTTACTAAAGGGGCCGTTCACTTATGACGTCCAGGGAGGGGGAGGGGGGGGGGGGGGGGTTCAGCAAGAAAAGAACAATAGAAATTCCTGGAAATCCATTGTTCTTTTTTGAAAAATGACCGTTAATTTCGGACGTTATAAGTGAACGATCCCTAATTAAGGTTCGTTTATAAATGACGTCTCACATTTAAGGGGGAGGGGGGACCGGCACTTTAAGACGTTTTGTACAAAAAAGAAATTATCTCAATACACTTTGTGTCAAAGGGTGGGAAAGGAGTGTCTTAAAATTTCAATTTTGATGGACATCATTAACTAATGACCCCTGAAAGCTTGTTTATTAAAAAAATCAGTTCCATACCCTCAATATTTATCTTAATTCACCGTATGCCGCAAGAAAAAATAGGAAAATACAACGAACCGCATGCTATGTACTGTTTTGGTCGTAATTTACAAGCAGGGCACAACTAAATTCTACCTTAACTGTTTTAACCTAAACAAAATATTTATTCAATGATATTCTTATGACTGAACCCCCTCTTAACTTAAAAACCTTGACATCACAACTGATTGTCCCTGTAAACAATTCTCTGGAATTTCTGAATCTATACGTCACTCATTTTACTCATGAGAGTAGACATAAGTGAGCATTTAGAGCAGTGCTGGTCAACCCATGTTTCTCGACAAGCTGGTATTCAGCGAAAAATCGAGAAATTTCATAAAACCATATCAGTCAATGCTTATTAGCAAGTTGAACAGTGAACACAGAAAAGGTTGAGCACCACTGATTTAGAGCATTGACTAAGAACATAAATGAAATTATCAGCTTGTTAATCTTAAACTTAATAAACGACATATAAAGTGGATCGTTTAGAGTTCTCGTAGCAAATAATAGTGAATAATAAAAGCTAAAATGAAATTTATAACTTTACTGATGCTTATTCTTCTTGTGGGATTTGAATTAGCAACATCAAGCTACAGTAATTTGGATGCAAAATCGGTAAATATAAAAATATTTAAAAAAACTGAATTTAATCGCATAAATTTCTCTTTATAAAATTAGAAGAAAGATATTGAGGACACAAATAATTTCTTGGACAGTGAAAGACAAAATATATATGGAGACAGTACTTTACTGCCTGCGATTTCAAAACCAATTGAAAGAACAAACTATTTTAATCAAATTAAAACAAAAGTTTTAGATTTTGTTGGAATAAAGGTAAGGAATGATTATTGTTGATGAATATACATCTTTAGTAAGATTTAAGGGGGGGGGGGGGGGGGGGGGGAAGGAAGGTAGGAGGGGTAAGGAAGGGGGGGGGAAGAATTCCCCCTCTCTGACCACGCCACTGCGTATCACAATTAGCATATTAATCTGAACCGGACCCCTAAGTTCGTCTTACCCAGTGATGACAAACCTATGTGCCGCGAAAAACAATTCTCAACATCCTACGAACCGTATGCTGTGTGCGGTTTTGGTCATGGCTAACTCCAAAAGTGCGCCAGGACACAAAAAAAGGTTTGGCACCACTGGTCTTATATGTTTTTCTTTTACTTTCTAGACGAAAACAGAAGAAATTGCTACAACAACCATGTCCACAAAACCAATTATTGATTTGAAAAATTCGTCATCAACACCAAGACCTGATGAAGAGGAGGAGGACACCATAGCGACTGATATCGAAGAAGATACAACAACTGTGAGATTTGGCGTTAGAAGCAGAAACTGACATCATATTAAGACTTAATCCTTACCAATAATCAATAAAGACAAAAAATTATAAAATCCAAGAACTGTGACTTAATTAAATTACACTCCACATCCCACCCAGTATCCAAAATGCACAGTCTGTTAATAAATTATCATCGAAGGGTCGTGGCACGCAAATTTAATATAATTAAAAGATTCTCATCTTCACTCCGTGTTCTCGCACCGACAAAATAAATTTAATTACATTAAAATTCACTTCCATTCTTGCCCGTCGATGCCGAAAAAAAAAATTATTATTTTCGAGGAGTTTCTTATCAGAAAATTAATTTTTTTTCTCTGCTTTTGTTTTTAGCGCTCATTCTCAATTAATTCATTACTTGCTTCTGTTTGCTTTTTGATGCACGAAATCACGGCTGGGGGAGGACAGAATGTGATGTTTATACTCATCACGTAATTTATGGTCAATAAAGATGTAATTAAATTCTTTTAATGTTAGCATTTTCTGAGCATTCGTCGTCGTCGTGTGTCTTTTAAGGGATAATGTTGATAATGTGGACAGTAAGGCTGGAGTGTTGAAGGGAAGGAAGTGCTTTGTTCAGTAACAGATTGTGTTTGTTTTATTGACAGACAAAAGAGGATGAACAAGATGTTTTTTGTGTGATGGGAGTTGTTGGGGGTGTCTTGGGTGCTGAAAGGAATTTTTGTTCAATTTTTACATGTTCTGTGCTGTTTCTAATGCTCAACTTACTGATTTTGGTGTTACACATAGTTTAATACCCCTTCAGTATGATTTTATACACTGTACCTAGTTTAATACCCCTCATTTTTGATTTTGACTCATGAAACATAGTTGGTTACCCCTTTTTGTGATCTAGACTTCCTAAGTGTAGTTTAATTCCCCATCATTGAAATTTTGACTAATTAATCATAGTTGAATACCCTATTCTTGAAATTTTGACTATTTAATTATAGTTGAATATACCTTATAGTTGAATACCCTTTTTTGTGATCTAGACTTCCTAAGTGTAGTTTAATTCCCCATCCTTGAAATTTTGACTAATTAATCATAGTTGAATACCCCATTCTTGAAATTTTGACTATTTAATTATAGTTGAATATACCTTATAGTTGAATACCCTTTTTTGTGATCTAGACTTCCTAAGTGTAGTTTAATTCCCCTTTGTTGTAAGTTTGACTCCGTAAACATAGTTGAATACCCCATCATTGTAATGTTGACTTATTAAACGCAGTTGAATGCCCCATAATTGTAATTTTGACTTATTAAACGTAGTTGAATGCCCCATAATTGTGATTTTGACTTATTAAACGTAGTTGAATGCCCCATAATTGTAATTTTGACTTATTAAACATAGTTGTATACCCCTTTTTGTAATCTAGACTTCCTAAGTGTAGTTTAATTCCCCTTCGTTGGTGATTTGACTCCATAGACATATTTAAATGCCCCATAATTGTAATTTTGACACTCTAATCGTAGTTGAATACCCTTTCATTCTAATTTTGTCTCCCTATGAAGTTGCATGCCCCTCGTATAAGTTAAATACAATCTATTAATCCTCAAAATTTCTTTTATTTCTTTACAGATTCCACAACAAATCCACATCAAACTATCATTAAATCAGTAAGTAATTACACAGCATTTAACTTTACTTTCCAATTTCTAATCCTCAACACATTCACCCACTTCATTAATTCAATACCAACTTACTCTGATTATCTCATCAAGCATCATTTCCATCCAATCCATATTCATTTGATATCAATACCATCATCATCAGTTTCATGTCCACTTTATCTATCCCCGGTAAATAAAAACTCATCGCAATATGCACTGAAACATCCATAATCCCATCAAATTGACGCTTTTAGTGTTGACACACTCATTCACTTCACACAAATTTTCTACTTTTTTTTTTGGACGATAAAAATCAATTGTTGTTGCTGAATGACCACACGCATGAATGGGAAAAATTCGCCCCTCGAGGGTGATTTGCTTACTTTCTTTTTATTGCGGCCGGACAGTTCTGATGCCGGTCATTCTGGGAAAATAAACATACGGATAGAATTTTTGTTTTGTTTTGTTGTTGTTTTGCGTTAAGGCAGACAGCAAGAAGGGAAAGAAAAGAAGAGGGATAGAAAGTTTTTATGCTGATGGACATATGGACAGTGACCTTCAACAAAAGTATGAAAATAGTTTTTTTTTCTGTGTCTCGTGTTTTACATGTGATTTTTGTGTTTTGGAACGAGGGTTAAAATTTGTAGGTGCGAAAGGTGATGGAATTTACTAATTTTTGGGTTATGAGTGGAATTTTGAGGTATTTTGGATATGCTGGAAATAATTACACTTGATATAAGGATCAGGTGCTGGCTGGTATGCTATTTGGGACTCTGTTGGTCTCTGATAGGAACTAAGTTGGTCTTTTTTGTATCAGCTAGCTTTTAAATGATCATTTCTGATCTTGATGAACTTTTAACTGTCTCTGACTGGCTTTGACTGAGCTTTGACTCGTTTGACTGACTCTGATTGACTCTGACTGACTATGACAGACTTTGACTGACTCTGACTGACTCTCGCTGACTCTGACTGGACTTGACTGGCTTTGACTGACTCTGACTGGCTTTGACTGGCTTTGACTGACTCTGATTGACTCTGATTGACTATAACAGACTTTGACTGACTCTGGATGGCTCTGACTGGACTTGACTGAGCTTTGACTGACTCTGACTGACTCTGGCTGACTCTGAATGAGCTCTGACTGGACATGACTGGCTTTGACTGGCTTTGACTGACTCTGATTGACTCTGAATGACTCTGAATGATCCTGATTGAGCTTCTGATTGTCCATGACTTACCTTACTGATTAGAACTTAGTCTAACCTACTCAAACTGACTCGGATTGAATCAAATCCACTCAAAAGAGGTTCCTTAGACTTCAAACAACTCTGACCGACCTTCAAACTCTCAAGAATAATGCTCCATACTTAAAATTCATAAACATTCAATCAGCAAGTGATTACAGACAGACTTCTTATTTTGTGTACTTAATGGCTTAATCAGAAAAATTATATGTAATTTAAACTTCATGATTTATTTAGGTTTTTTTTTTATTTTGTTTGAATGAATTTGTGATTAACGTTTTTTAGTACACAAAGCGATTCTTTTGATAATGGACAACATTGTGAGTTTTGTGCCATATTTATGGAAGGTCTTTCAATACGATGTAATTCAGGATGATCGCAAAAGCTTCAAAAATGCTAAAAATCTCAAAGATAAAATTACTTCTGTGTCAAAATCGATGATTTTTGGATTCTATGTCGTGAATTTGATTGGATATTTTCTTGTGCTGGTCTGTAACATCTACGATGAAGCACTGGATGTCTCGAAACTTTCATTTTTCGTGACTATCTTCTCAATTTTGTTGATTGTCATGGCAAAATGTTTTCTGATTTTTAAAAATCGAGAAAAAATTCAAAAAGTTATGCAAAAGTTGCCAGCTTGTTACAGCACACAGGATGAACAGGACTACAAAGTATCCCAGCAGCTCCGTTGGAGTCGATTTCCATTTTTGATGAATTTAGCCACAACTTTTCTTGGAATTTTCATCAGCTTTTTGACTGCATTTGATGAAAATATTTATTTTAACTCACTTCGGTTCCCGTTCATGTCCAACGCTGTGGTTTACTATTTTGCAAATTTGTGGATTCGACTGATGATTATCGTAAGTGAATTGCTTACTATTGTCAATGAAAACATCATTTATGGACTGATTATTGTCCTGACTGTCGAGTTTAGGAAGCTGAATCAAAAAGTTGAAGAAATTAAATCAAAAATTACAGAAAATTCCAGAAAAATATCAAAATTAAGGAACATTTTGCCAGGATCAGAATCATTAAGTGAAGCCATAACCTCAAAAATAACCGAAACTATCAACAACCACAATCAATTGTTGGATATTCGCGACAATTTAGAAGAAATCTTTGCGCCTGCATTCTTAATTAACTTTCTATGCGGCTTAGTCTGCCTCTGCACCTCTGAAATCTTATTCTTAGTCATCAACGACCCAATCCATGGTGCAGCCTTTCTATCAAGTGGAATATCTCAAGCTTTAATCTTCTTCGTCCAGTGCAACTATTGTCAGCAGTTGAAGGATGCAAGTTTGAGCATTTGTGATGCAATTTATGACTGCAAATGGGAAGACATTGAGGATGTGAAGGTTAAGAAGCATTTGCTGATGATTCTCATGAGATCACAAAAGTCCAAGACACTCACGTGCTGGAAATTTGCTGAGAATTCTTTTGAACTTTTTGGATCGGTGAGGATTGAATATTTTTGAATTGTTTCTTGAGCTTTAGTTGGGATTGATATTGACGTTGATTAGGATCGACGATGAGCTCTATTTAAGCTTGTTTTTAGTTTTCAGTGAAAAGGGAAATGTGGATAAAAAGGGGAAAGAAAAGGGGGATGGAAAAGTGGAAGGAAAAGGGGAAGGAAAGGGGAAAGAAAAGAGGGGAAGGAAAGGGGGATGGAAAAGTGGAAGGAAAGGGGGAAAGAAAGGGGAAAGAAAGGGGGGAAGGAAAGGGGTAGAAAACCAAAATTTTTTTCAAGCACATGACATTAAAGAATTCAATAAAAAAAATTTCAAATTATTTCTTTTGCAGTTCATGTCATCAAATTACTCATTTTTCACAATATTCCGAAGATTCTACTACAAATCTTAAATATAATGTCGGCTCGCATAGTCTAGAGAAGTTCCAGTTGAAGGATTATACATCAAAAGGTTGACAGCTGTTGCTAGGATGCTTCAATATCCTAAAATAACCGTTAATCAATATTTTCAGTATTTTAATAAAATTCTTATAAAAAATGTGATGTAATTCTCACAAACTTAATAATTTATGACTTTATTACTATATTTTCTCTTTAACCTAATAAAATTTGTCCAATTAATACTTAATGAACTAAAAAAACATCACGTCAATAAAGAAATTCTATTTAATTCATCATTCTTAGTTAAATCATTAAAAGTGTCAGAAGTGCCTCACAAAATCATGGATAATAT